AAAAAATCCGGCAACATTGCAAAATGATAGATGTGGAGAGGCGTGATTATTCAGAGGTATGATTCTATTGGTTAGAGTCTGAACGACAGCAGGCAGTGGCGTGGTTATTGGCGAAACTAAAGAATTTTTTTTTTTAATAATTTTATTGGTGTTTCCGGTGCCACTGAACCGAAAGACATGGCTGTCATCAGGCGGTGTCAGTGAATATTTTTAGGTTACGCCCCACTTTTCTTCTCCCTTTCGCCTCTACCAAGTTACCACTTGCCAGACTATAATTGAAAAGGCAATATATTTGGTTTTTGAGGCATTCAACGTTAATTTATAGGTATCTAATCAGTTCTTGACTGTATCTATACCGTTGATATCGGGTCTTCAAAAAAAAAACCAATCAAAGATTGCTTTGAATACGAAAACGTATGTCGCATTATTGTTTCATTATTGGTCAGGATTTTTGACATGACATTTTGACATTAAAGTTCATTGACAAAATGAAAGGAAAATATTGCTAAGACATACGTTTAAAAAACCATAGCAATCTTTGATTGGTTTTTTTTTTAAGACCCGATAGCATATTCTTTAACTGCAGTCCAGGAACTCCCCGAAAATAACACCACAGTATCATCAGCGTAAGATATCACTGATCTGTTCTGTATATTAATACCAGTCAAGGAGTTTATATATGTTATAAAGAGTAGAGGACCCAGTACAGTGCCTTGCGGAATTCCAATTTTAATATTCATTGTGTCACTGACGGTGTCATTCACTTTAACAATCTGAGTTCGGTCTCCCAGGTAACTGGCAAAGACATCCAACACGATGCCTCTTACTCCATATTGTTGCAGTATCTCAAGCAGAGATTCATGAGGCACCGTGTGAAATGCCTTCGCGAGGTCCAGGAAGACAGCCAAACATTTGTTGTTGTTATTCATGTCCCTTGTAATGCAGTCGGTCAGCTTGCATATTGCGTCTGCAGTGCTCAGTCCATTGGTAAATCCAAATTGGTTTTGTGACAAAATATTACTTTGGTCCAGGAAATCACTCAATCTATCTTTTAGACATTTTTCAAAAATCTTGGCAAAAGAATTGATAACACTTATAGGGCGATAGTTATTGATGTCAGCTTTGTTCCCAGCTTTATATACAGGGGTAACGACTGCAATTTTAAATATTTTTGGCACTTTTCCAGTACGAAAGATAAGGTTAATTATGTGGACCAATGGAACTGTTAACTGCTGGCGAGAGCATTTTATTAGCCTTGAGTTGATGCCGTCAATACCAGGAGCACAATTATTTTTTAAGGCATTAATATATTTTATAATCTCATTTGAGTTAGTTGGGCTTAAAAACATCGAGGTGAGCGAATTGTAGTCAGTTCTAATTGTATGAGCTGGGTTTCTTATTTTTTTATACATGTTTATACCTATATTTACAAAAAACTCATTACAGAAGTTGGCCATTTCTTTGAAATTTGGGAAGTCCACATTCTTATTTTTGATAGCAAGATTATTCTGTTTCTTCTTATTTGTGTTCGAAGCATCAGAAATAATCTTATAAATTCGTTTTATATCTTTGCCACTCTTTTCTATCTCACTCTTATAGTAATTATGTTTTCGCTTTTGTATGATTTTGTTCAGCTTATTTCTATATTCAGTAAATTTCGCTTTATTATCTTCATTGTAATGCTTAAGTAACTTCCTTTTTAACTTATCCTTTACTTTTATGCTGTTAACAATACCATTTGTTATCCATGGCCTAATTTTTTTGTTGATTTCAACAGTGACTGCTTTCTTTACTTTAGATCTATTAACTAAGTCACTAACAATTTTCATAAATTTCTCAGCAGCCAGTTCTGCATCCGTCAGCTCCAAGACACTGGTCCAGTCTTCCATCGAAATTAGGTCAATAAAAGCTTGATAATCTACTTTAATTGAGGGGTGCATTTCTGGGGTAGATCCTGGAGAGTCTTTCTCACAAAAGTCAATATTTAGCATAATTGAGTAGTGATCTGTGACCGAAGATTTTAGTACAAAAGATGAACATTCTAGATTAGTTCTAAAATTGCGTTTTATGAATATATGATCAATTATTGTATTTGTTTCGTTTGTAACCCTAGTAGGGCTATTAATTGCTGATAAATAGCCAAAATGATTCAACATAGAAATATAGTTGTTGGCATCATTGTCATTAACTGCCCCCAAATTAATATTTATATCACCAATTATTATGTCAATTTGACTATTCGAGTTCATTGAAAATAGTGATTCAATATCTCTTAGAAAGGATGGAATACTAGATGAGGGTGGCCTATACATACAATATAAAGAGAATGATATGTTGTTTCTATTCAAAGTGATCTTACTTACTGTTACTCCTGAGAATTGTAATTTAATAGTATCAACTTCAAAGTTTAAATCTGATCTAATATAAACAACTGTTCCATCATTCTTATTTAGGTCTGCGTTGTTGTAGAACATAGTATACCCTGCAATATTGAATAGCTGATCGTTGGCAATCTGCCAAGATTCTGATAGCACAATTATATCACAATATTTTATTTCATAAAAATGCTAAAAGTTCATCAAAGTTCTTACGAATGCTACGAATGTTCAAGTGTAATATGTTAATAAGTTTGTTCTTCAGTTTAAGTTTTGATTCCAACACTTCACAATCGATTACCTCCTCCCTAATTCCATGATTTGCATCTTCAAGGTCCTTCAGTATTTCATCCTCTGTTTGAGTAGATACCATTAATTTTGATTGCCATAATCAATTTTACTTTGTAACACATTTATTAGGTATTGATAGGAAGGACAAGTAGGATCGTTTGCGGTGTGATTCGCACAATATTTGGTCTTATACTTGCTGTTAGCTTTAATGCAATTTACACACTTTTGGTGAGTTTTTGGGCAATCATGAACATCATGGTCTAGAGAACAGTATTCACACACAGTTTCGTTTTCACACTCCTCAGCTTTGTGGTAGTGTTCCTGGCATTTGTAGCACCGAGAAATTCTGATGTCCTCATAAATAGGACATCTTTCCCATCCAATAAATATTTTCTTTTTGAACATTAGTTTGTGAAACAGTGTTGGGGAGCACTCCATAAATATGATGCTAGACTTGGTTTTTGCGTTTCTGCGTATAAATGTTACCTCCAGTTCATCATGCTCATCTATAAACTGGTTTTGCACCTTGAGACAATTTTCCAAGTCATTTTTATCCAGATCTCCTTTATATCCTATTATTTTAACTCTGGGCCTTAGCAGTTTTAATATTTGGACATCGTAATCAGGTAATTTTGCATCAGCTTCCTTTTTAAGGATTTCTAAATCGTTGCGATTTTGACATTTTACTATAATATTTCCATTTGTAGTGCATCGAGTACCTTTTATAGAAACCTTTATGGCAGAAGGGTTTATTTTATTTCTTAAATCGTTCTCTGTTTTTTCTAAGTTTTGTTGTCGTTTGGGCTTGATAACCAAACTGGGCACATTATTTATTACCACTTTATTATCTTTATTAGCAGATTTTTGTGTTACACTGCTATATTATATTTGGGGATATGTAATAGAAGTTAAACTAATCTTGGCAGATTCCAGATCCTGAATTTTTTTCTTGAGTAGGTCTATAATCTCATCTTTGCTAGCGATAATACTTGACTTATCATCAATTGTGTTTTTAAGTAGTATAAAAGTATCTATCTCTCTGCATTTCTCACAATGGAATAACATCATGCGTTCTTTTAGCTGCAGCACTTTGACTTCCGAAGACGTCAGCCCTCCACATGCTTTACATAGCCCTTCTTTACATCTATCGCAACAGTAGATTTCTTTTGTTTTACTGTTGCATGTCTGCAAACATCGCACTCCATAATTTTCTTATATGAGGCGGCAACGTCGCACGTCCCAGCAATTAGAATAGGTTATTATTTCCATGTATTTCTAATAAAATAATTGCACAAATCTCGCCACGTTCACTAAAAAATTGTCATAACTTTTTTTCTATTATAGATAGAAAGCTGAATCTTTCACTGAATTTTATCCCTTTCAAAGGACTACAATCCCTGAAAATTTCAGCTCATTTGCACCTATAGTTCCAGTTCCTGAGATAAAATCGTGTTAAGCAATGCCTTTTTTCATAGATTTTGGCTTCAAATCTGAGACTGTATGGAGTTTGGGGGATGTTAATTGACCATTGGGATACAAAATCTCAACAAAAAAAAAATTGAAATTTTATCGTTTTAGTAAGAAGGTACCTACCTTATGATTTAGATTCGTTGATTTCGATACGTTGACATGAATTCTTCTTTCCAGTAATTCCTAAGAAATATAATTACTTATTCTACCGAAGATGTCGCAATTTAAAGGGAGTTTTTTGAATGAGTTTTGAGTGGTAGATAAGGAACCTCATCACGTAATCCTGGCGCGTATTGTATTAACTCCTGAGCTTCTAGAATGAACAGACAACACAGAGTTAGCATGCAATAATCGCAAAGTACGCACATTTGGCAATGGGAAAATTCAGGTTATTAGCAATAACTCTTGAGTATAACAACCAGACGACTGTATCCTGTTCTCTCTACTAGGTTGTTTAAATACTTTTTGGTTCCACCATGAATTTTGATACGTTGACCTAAACTCCACTTCCGCTATTTCTGAGAAATATAATCATTTGTTCAACGAAATTGCAACATTTTGCACTTTCCTTGATTATTGTGGTCACAAATAATGTTTTTCATATGAATCTGGTACCAACAATTTAATAATTATGATTTTAACCTTGCTTTCAAAGTCTCTTTGGTGCTTAACTTATGCATTTATCTTCAGGTTCAGGAACCTTGTTAATTGTAATTAATTTATTAGGATCGTCTCTTAGAAAAAAGAAGCGACTTCCAGTTGATAGCTACTTTATTATAAAAACTTTACTTTGAGTTTTATTTATACATTATACCTAGTTATTCTCTTGACGCTCCTATAAACTATATAAATATTTCTTTTCAGGTTATGTGGTTGGGTTACCCAGGCACCAGCGGTGCCAGTTTCATGGATTACTTGGTGACCGACGTTGTGACGTCGCCCTTGGAACTAGCCAATCAGTACAGCGAAAAACTGGCCTACATGCCCTACACATATTTCGTGGGCGATCACAAGCAAATGTTCCCTCACTTGAAGGAACGTTTGATTGTGTCTGACAGAAGTAGCGGAGGTTTGGCCGATAACGTGGCCATAATCAACGCTACAGATTTGTCTCCGCTGGTTGAAAGCACCGACATTAAGGAAATCAAGGAGATTATCCAGCCAACCACTAGGCCTGTCGAGATTAGTCTTAAAGTTGCTGAGCTTCCTACTACGACTCAAATAGAAAATATGATTGCTTCGGGCCAGGTGCAAACTTCCCTAAATGGAGTTGTGGTTCAAAACGGTTTAGCAACAACACAAACAAACAACAAAGCAGCTACAGGAGAGGAAGTACCACAAAACATTGTAATAACTACCAGGCAACAATATGGTCTACCTGATGATGCGATTGTTTATTGTAACTTTAACCAACTTTACAAAATCGATCCAATAACTTTACACATGTGGGTCAATATTTTGAAAGCAGTGCCAAATGCGGTATTGTGGTTGTTGAGGTTTCCAGCAGTTGGCGAACCAAATTTAATATCGACAGCGCAACAATTAGGCTTGCCGCCTGGTAAAATTATTTTCAGTAATGTCGCTGCTAAAGAAGAACATGTACGACGAGGTCAATTGGCTGATGTTTGCTTAGATACGCCTCTATGCAACGGCCATACTACTAGCATGGATGTTTTGTGGACCGGTACTCCAGTGGTCACTTATCCAGGCGAAACTCTAGCTTCTAGAGTGGCCGCGAGTCAATTGAACACATTGGGCTGTCCGGATTTGATTGCGCGCAGCAGGCAAGAGTACCAGGACATTGCCATAAGACTAGGTACTGATAAGGAGTACTTGAAAGGTATGCGTCACAAGGTGTGGACGGCGAGATCGACATCGCCGTTGTTCGATTGCAAAATTTACGCCGAAGGGCTGGAGTTGATTTATTCAAAAATGTGGGAGAGATTCGCCAAAGGGCTGAAGCCCGATCACATCACTGAGACGACTGTCAAAAAATGGCCGTAGATTTTTTGACGATTATTTGATTGTGTTGTAAATATTTTAATTATTAAAGCTTAATTAATTTTGTAGCTAAAGTGATTATAGTTTTTTAGGCTCGAAACTAGGAGCATAATTTATTTGACTTTATTATTGACATATTGTCATTTGTTTGAAATAATTATATCCGAGATTTAAGTGGGAGTGTTTTTGTTTAATGCTTTTAGATAGGAATGGGATTTAGGGTTGGTATTCTTATATCCTGTTCACAATCCGATGTCTACAGTTGCTGGTAAATTTATCACCTTTCCCTATCAAATAGCATTGAAAGGTGATAAATTTTACCGGTACCAGTGGACATCGGATTGTGAACGGATAATAGCTGAGGTACTTTTAATGTTAAGGTTAACTTGATATCAAGTGAGTCATAAAATCTCAGTGCTTGGATGGCAAATTGTTTAACTGAAAGAGCCAATTAGAAGCTGCGGAAGAAGAAATTTTGAAAATTTTCAACTCAAGAACTACTAATGAGTAATCGAAATTTTGATTATTATCGGCTCTCGAGTCTTGACTCCCCTCTAGGGGGTCCAGAGTTGATGAAAGTTCAAATTTTGACTATTACCGGCTCTTGATTGGCTCTAGGAAGGGTTTCCGAAGAATCAGGAGCCGATAATAGTTTAAAAGATAACGCACACCTAACATGGGATTTTTGGGCTCTATGGATTTTGCCCATTTTTTGATATGTTATAGAGGATTTATTTCTTCAACCTTTAAATGGGACGAAATCTTGTAGGTATTACGGTCTTTGAGATATGAGCGTTGGAAGATGAATTTTTTTGCGACTTTTTGTGTGGGGAGTATACGAGATACTATACCTTTACAACCTCAAAATGAGACTTATCACAATCAAATTGAAATTAACAAAATCAAATTAAGACTTGAAACAATCAAATTGAGAACAATCAATTTTAAATTGGTACAACATCCGTTTCCATGTAATTGAATGTTGTACCAATTTGAAATTGATTATTCTCAATTTGTTTTTGTTCAATCTCAATTTGAAAATGTTTGTTCTCAATTTGATTGTGATAACTCTCAATTTGAAGTTGTAAAGGTATAGTGCTACTGGTGTTTATCAGTCAAAATATTGACAGGTTCACATATTTTACGTCAGCTAAAAATCAATGTCAACTTAGGTTAAGGCCGGGACCGCACTGGACTCAATGTTGTCGTCAGTGCGGTCCCGGCCTTAACCTATGTTGACATTTGTTAGTGACGTAAAATATGTCGACCTTTCAAGATTTTGAATGATAAACACCAGTTTTTCGTATACTCTCCACACAAAAAGTTGTAGAAAGGTTCATCTTTCAACGCTCATATCTCAAAGACCGTAATACCTACAAGATTTCGTCCCATTTAAAGGTTGTTCAGAATTAAATCCTCTACAACATATCAAAAACTGGGCATCCATAGAGCCCAAAAATCCCATGTTAGGTGTGCGTTATCCTTTTGATTATCTATGATTTCTTTATTCATTGGAGAATTTTTTGGAGCAACTAAATACCGAATATCCATATTGAATGTTGTGCTATTGTCACAACCCCTATACGTTTCATGCAGGGACGTCATAACGTGAGCGTGACCTGAGACGTCATAACAGGAGCGTGATCTGGGGGCGTAGGTGGGGTTCAGGTAGATAGAAACTCGCTTGGTATAGGTATAATAAAATAATGTATTGAATAATAAAAATATCACCCTAGAAATAGTATCATGATGTCTCTTCTACGGAGGGACTTATATACTACTTATAGGCCACTCTGTATTATGTACACTCTGTACACTTGGCGCGACTGAAGACTGAAGCTGGGTTTGAGACAGGTCCAGAAGGGCGTTTCCCAATAAAGGTAGTTTGCACTGGACCTAGTTTGCTGCGTTCAATGCCCCTAGAAGAAGGGTCAGTTAAATTAGCCTTCCCCCCCCATAGAAAATTTCTGGATGAAAATTATCCCATACTTTTGCTCTCATTTTTCTCCACTAATTTCGATTTTTGCTCCATTACAGTGGAGAGACTATGTGGCCTATTAGGTGGGGTGGGGGGGGGCTGAATTAACGTTAGCTCCCCCCAGTGATAATTCAGAAATTTGTTCATGCTCATTTTGTTTTCCGAGTTTTGCTCCATTTTGCTCCACTTTCGGCGAGTTTTGCTCCATTACCAGGAGAGACCTACAGAGCTCCCAAAAATCTCTCCTAGCCTTCCCACACCAGTGAAAATTTTGTTTGATCATATTCATTGTATTCTCCGAGTTTCGCTCCGTGATCGGCGAGTTCTGCTTCGAGAACTCAGGCGCTCTGAAGCTGCTCTCATTTTCCTCGCCTCTTTTCCCTGAAACACCTGTAACTGATTTTCAAGCATTTGAGTGCAAAGCGCATTGAGTATCGCCGATCAAATTTCAGAATTTTCACTGGGAGAGATTCTATATTATGACAGATGAGGCAGTATCAGCTGTCAAATATTAGAATCTAAAATTCAAAAGCAGGGTAACTATGGCAGATTTTGATGAAGCAAGTATTGATGCCCAATAAGTCAACTAAGGAAAATCGAAAAATGTCAACCATTTTGACATTTGTCAAAACCCTGCCAAACAGCAGCACTCATATTTTTCGGTTTTCAATATTTCATGTTGTGTCATTTGACAGTTTCAACCTATGTAAACTCTCAGTTCAGAAATTGGAAAAAAAAAAATTACAGAAATGTGGAAACTTGTCATTTGTTTTAGTAACAAAAAAAAAATCCAATTTGGCCCTTTTTCGTTTTAAGGTAGTTTATTGGTGATAAATCAATAAACAAAACTCATAGACATCAAATTTTGACATCTGTCAGAATCTGACATAAGTTTTAATTGAAGAAAAAAAAACTGAACTATAGTTTTGTTCCAAAGTTCCAATTATTTAGGTTGTGCTTATTTATTATGAAGCATGAACGAACATACACAGGTTTCAGAATTTGACAACTGTCAAAATTTGATGTCTATGAGCTTTGCTTAATGTTTTATTACCAATAAACTACCTTAAAACAAAAAAGAACCAGTCTTGAATCTTTTTTCCTACTAAAATGGATGATAGGTTTTGACAGTTGTGTCATTTTTTTTTCCAAGTTTTCAAGTCAGAATTTACATAGACTAAAACTGTCAAATAATACATCATAAAATATTGAAAACTGAAAAATATGAGTGCTGGGTTGGCAGGGTTTTGACAAATGTCAAAATGATTGACATTTTTCGATATAGGTACCTTGTTCGACTTAGTAGGAATCTTGCTTCATCAAAATCTGCCATAGGTAACCTGCTTTTGAATATGAAATTCTAATATTTGACAGCCGATACCGGTCATATATACAAGGTTGCCACTCCAAATATCACGGGTAACCAATTTCCGTTTAAATATTTGCGGACTCCTTCCTCAGGCTCAGGTGCCCCCATTAATGGTGACTTAAGCATATGCCTTGGATATTCCTGTCACATGAAAAGATCTTCATGGCATATGCATCGGATATCTATATATTCCCATGAAATATGCCATGAATATTCCTGCAATATGTTTGTGACATCCGGGTATTTCTCAATTGCTTTGTCTCAATTTTTGTCTATTCCTAGCTCTTGAATCTTCAATATCTTCTGAGCTTCTTTAAAGAAAATTCAGAAAAATAATAGTCAAAATATGAGAGCCAGGAAAAGGAAAACTACGTCTTTTTGTCTAACAGTTTTTCTTCAATTTACTTTAAATTTGCTCTTTATTTCTTAATTTCATTGAATCAATTTTTGTTTGTTCCTGGCGCTTGAATCTTCAATATCTTCTAAACTCCTTTAAATAAAGAAAATTTAGAAAAACAGACAAAATATGAGAACCAGGAATAGAAAAACTATACGTTTTTTTTGTCCAATGTCAAATACTTTAAATTTAATGTCCTCTTCATTTCTCAATTTCTTTGTCTCAATTTTTGTCAATTCCTGGCTCATGAATCTTCAATATTTTCTGAGCTTGTTCAAATAAAGAAAATTCAGAAAAAATAGACAAAATATGAGAGCCTGGAATAGAAAAACTATGTCCTTTTGTCTTAATTGGCTTCAAATATCCTCTTTTAGGGAAATCTTACTGATAGTCAAAAGAAATCTGGGGAAATAATTATTGGTTTCCTCTAAAACCGGAATCTGATGTACAAAAACTGACCTCAGGAGTAAACCGCAAGGAAAATTTAATGTCCAAATTAGGAGAAATCAAGAAGAAATTCGAGGAAATCTAAGGTAATCAGGGAAAATTATGAGGAAATCAATGAAAATCTAAAGGATCTCGCACGAAATCTTCAGAAAATTATGGAAAATCTTAAGGTAATCAACCAATTTCTAGTACCAGCGCATGCGCAGTTTTTAAAAATCTTTCTAATTTGAGATTATGTTATTAAGGAAACTTTTGGGCACTTACTGGTAGTCAAAAGAAATCTGGGGAAATAATTAATGAGAAATCTGGTCTACAAACTAGGGGAAATCAAGAGAAAATTTAAGGCAATCAGGGAATGTCAAGGAAATTCTTAAAGAATTCAGGGAAAATTTTAAGGAAATCAATCAATCTCTAGATCCAGCGCATGCACAGTTTTCAAATATCTTTATAATTTGAAGTTATGTTATTATGAGAACTCTTGGGCAATCTTATTTGTATCAGAAAAAAACTGGGGAAATAATACCCCGCAAAGAAAATCTGGTGTACAAACTAGGGGAAATCAAGAGCAAATTCAAGGCAATTAAGGGAAATCGTGGAAATTTTTATGGAATTCGGGGGAAACCTTGGAAAAATAGTGGGAAATCTCAAGGAATGAAATTAATCTCTATAGATCCAGCGCATGGGCAGCATCCGAAAATCTTTAAAATTTCAGGTTATGTATCAGGGAAATTCTCCACTCGGCAGTGAAAAAATACATGCATGTTTATCATCGACAAAATATAAATGCAAGTCTAAGCTTGTTGTTTTTGCTAGAATGGAAACGCTTATCAGTTATAAGTAAAAATAACCATATGAAACATGGTACCCCTGTTTGTTTCCACATTAAAATGTCGGCGGCATGATGATTCACGAATTTTTCCCTATTAACCATTACAGCATCCTGTAATAGGATAACATCATGACGTGGAAAAATTTGGGGTTAGCCCGGGTCAAATCCCCGAAATTTCAAACCAAAGGCGCGATTTTCCCAAAGTATCGAAAAAGGACCCCGCAATATTTAAACGGAAATTGGTTACCCGTGATATTTGGATGAAATTTAAATTTGTTATTGGAAATGCCGTAAGCAAAATTTTTTACCATGGGCGTAACCTTGTATATATGACAGGTGAGACGGTATCAGCTGCCAAATATTGAACCTTGTATATATGACAGATGAGACGGTATCAGCTGTCAAATATTGGAATCTAATATTCAAAAGCACGGTAACTATGGCAGATTTTGATGAAGCAAGTATCGATTCCCAATAAGTCAACCAAGGAAAATCGAAAAATGTCATTTTGACATCTGTCAAAACCCTGCCAAACGGTAGCACTCATATTTTTCAATATTTCATGTTGTGTCATTTGACAGTTTCAACCTATGTAAACTCTCAGTTCAGAAATTGAAAAAAAATAAAAAATTTACAGAAATGTCGAAACTTGTCATTTGTTTTAGTAACAAAAAAAATCTAATTTGACCCTTTTTCGTTTGAAGGTAGTTTATTGGTGATAAATCATTGAACAAAACTCATAGACATCAAATTTTGACAGGTGTCAGAATCTGACATTAGCTTTAATTGAAGAAAAAAAAAACTGAACTCTAGTTCTGTTCCAATTATTTAAAAACTTATTCACAAGTTTCAGATTTTGACAGCTGTCAAAATTTGATGTCTATGAGCTTTATTGCTTAATGTTTTAATACCAATAAACTAACTTGAAACAAAAAAGAACCAGACATGAATCTTTTTTCCTACTAAAATGAATGACAGGTTTTGATAGTTCTGTCATTTTTTTTTTCAAGTTTTCAACTCAAAATTGACATAGACTAAAACTGTAAAATGACACATCATGAAATATTGAAAACTGAAAAATATGAGTGCTGCTGTTTGGCAGGGTTTTGACAGATTTAGCTTGTTCGACTTAGTAGTAGTAGTAAATGGAGCAAAACTCGGAGAACAAAATGAGCTGGGGCTAGCGTTAATTCAGCTCTCCCCCCCCCCCCACCTAATAGGCCACATAGTCTCTCCACTGTAATGGAGCAAAAATCGAAATTAGTGAAGCAAAATAAGAGCAAAATTATGGGATAATTTTCTATGGGGGGGGGGGGCTAACTTAACTGACCCCTAAAAGAAGCTAGATTTGAGACAAGTCCAGGAGGGCGTTTTCCATTAAAGCATTTAAGGTAGTTTGCACTGGGTAGGAGACTTAGCTAGAGGGGCTTTTCCCATTTGAGGTACGTTGCACTAGCCTTAGTCTGCCGGTAAAAGATTTCGGGGTATTTATACCAAATTAATGCTGACTCGTCGACACACTTTAGTAAAATTGATGTACAGAGTGGTATTTATTTAAGTAGTTGACACTATGTTTGATAGACAAAATAGAAAGATCATTCAGTATATGCTGACTTATAGAATTTCTTAAGTAATTTTTCAATATTTTTAATTTACTAAATGATCTTTCAGCGTCACTTCGGTATTCTGTATCTTAAAATAACATCGAAATACCGGCCCTTAAAAAGGTATAGTATCTGCATTTCTCTGTTAGTATCTACCGAATAATACATTTCTCTTGACTGTAATAGATAAAGAGGTAGGTACTTGCTTGAGATTACAAAAACCCCAAAATACTTATTATTAATGCCAATTTATTGTGAATAATTATTACAATAAGCTATCCATTTATTGATGCTGTTTTCAGAAGACTTATTGACAAATGGAAATATAAATACATAATCAAACATCCGCACCAATTTCACTCCTCACAAAATCCATCCAATTGGCCAATTGTATCGATTCTTCATGGGGCATAATGTCACTCTCGATTTTACCTTCCAAAATCTTCTGTCTGACTTCCATCGCTTGATAAGCCAAACCAGCAGAATTGAAATAATTAAACTTCCCCTCGTTTTCAATCAAAGGAAACTCTTTTATTTCTTCATTCAGTTTATATGACGTAGGTGCCCAAAACTTGGGAATTTTAATAACGCCTTTAGTTCCAACTATCAAACCCTCATTAGGCATTTCGGCTGTAGCATCACAAGTGACTACTGCTGTTTTGTTGTCGGGATACTTAAAAATAGCTGAAGCAGTAACATCTACTTTCTCGTTGTTCAAATGACCAGCGGCAACTATGCTTTCAGGTTTGAGGCCTCTAAAAATCAACTGTTGGAATTGTAAGATGTAGACTCCAATGTCTAAGGTGGCACTGCCCCCAAGATTCTTTTGAGTGACTCTAGGTACGTCACTAATTGGGAAACCAAAGGTTACAGAGACGAACCTTACGTCACCAATAATGCCGTTTTTAATTAGTTTTGCTACTTCTTTGTAAACAGGAAAGAATCTGGACCAAACTGCTTCCATGAGAAACAGCTTTTTGTTTCGAGCCAGCTCGATGAGACTTCTAGTTTGTTTCTCATTTAAGGTTAAAGGTTTTTCAACTAAAACATGTTTATTGTGTTGCAACATTAACTTTGCCACATCGTAATGTTGTGGATTGAGGACCCCAATGTAAACAACTTGGACTTTGGGGTCTGTAGCTAAATTCACGTAGCCCTCATAAGCATTAGGGATTTTGTGGTTTTTAGCAAACTCTTCAGAACTGAAATTCGATATATTATCAAAAGGTTTAACAATAGATATCATACCTATCCAAAGATCTAGCAGCTACTGCTACCACTTGATGTTCCTTTTGAGACAAGCTTTTTAAGGCTGTAACAAAATCGTTTGCGATCTTTCCTGTAGATGCTATACCCCATTTGAGAGCCATTTTATTACACAAAAATGCGTGTATTTTTCCTTGACAACAAAAATAATTCACCTGCCACTTAAGAGTAATAAATATTAATATAATTACTATGTTTGTAATCAAGGTTAATAATACCGACTACCGAGAACAGCACGATTTCGCCATGATTCGAAACGGAATAATAAACGGTGCGATCTGCGCGGTCTCGTATCATTGAGCAATCAAAGCCGAAAAAATTATTGCCATAAGGTTTTTCCTGTATAAGCAAAAAAATGTCAGTGTATTAACTGATCATCAGTACCTATTGTGACTACATTAAAAGTTTTCCTGATGAATAAATAATGTTTGACGTTTGTGTCTTTATTCTTAGTGTAATTTCTGTGGTTTTGTTTGTTTATTTTTTGTTGGAGTTTCACTATTTTTTCCGAGCTTTTTTGTGTATGGTCAATGCGCGGTTTTTCAAAGGAAATGTGTTTGTTTTGGACGAGACTTTTGTTAATGGTAAGTACAGAATTGGTTTGTTATTATGATAATTTTTTTGACTGAAAAACTATGTACCTTTTTCAAAAACAAGTTTTAATTGAAATAAATATTTAATAAGTTTAGGTGTTTTTAACTATTCTACTTGTTTTTTTTTTTAGAAATGGAAGATTTTGAGCTGTCTCCGAGTTTTTTGCTTAATAGTTCTTTATAGACAATAATAAATATTTATTTTTGGTAGAAACATTCTAAATAAAAAGTTGCTACATTATTGAAAAAATAATTATTAATCGAGTGATTATTTCCGGTTCTTGACTCTTGATTCGAATCAAAAACCGGAAATATTGATAAGCGGCACTCAAAAACGTGGGGAGGTTATATTTATCCCTCTCGCATTTCTATTATTCTGATTTTTCAAAACCCTAAAGATTCAATTCAGGATTTCCAAAAGTATTCTGTAGCGCTTCAGAACAATTTGGAAACTTCAGAACCATTTCGGAATGCTCCAAAACATTCAAAACTCGATTTACAATTTCCAAAAGCATTTTTAGAACAATTCAGAAGTTTGAAACCCATTTTAGAACGCTCCGAAACACTCCATGTAGGTACTCTAAAATCTCCAGAAACATTTTGAAAAGCGCCAGAATCTTAGGATTCAGGTTAAAAGTTACAAAACGCGCCTTTCAAGGCGTTCAAGAGCAAATTTAAAATGTTGTAGAACTTTAAACTTTTCATATCCAAATCAGAATTTTCCGGAGCATTTTGGAACAATTAAGAAACTTCAGAGTAATTTCAGAATAATTAGGATTCAATTTAGAACTCTTTTGAACGAATTTAGAACACTATTGGAGCTTCAATATAGGGCACTAAAATACTTAAAAAATTGTCAAAACAATTTAGAAATCACTGAAAAACTTCTAAAATGCTCCAGAACACTTCAAGCAAAGTTAGAACGATTTAGAACTTCAATAAACCATTTTAGAACGTTCCAAAACACCTTAATTCCAGCAGCATTTTTCTGTTCCTATTCCAGGCACTTGATTTTTCGTTATTTCCTTATTCTTAATTCTTAATTTTCCTTTGAGTCTTGAATTTTTTCATTCCAAGTTCTTGAATTCTCATTATTCCCTTATTTTAGAATTTCGGGCTCCTGACTTGACTTTTGAGTATGTTTAGGTTCAAAAGAAATCAAGAATTTAAAACATAAGCGTTTGGAATAGACAAAAATTGAAAGGTATATAAAACGAATAATAATATTGAAATATCAGTCCTAAACACGTCTTTAAGCAGACGTCTGAGTTTTGTAATAATATGGCGTCTGTGGGATGTCTTTAAGACGTTTCGAAGACATCTTAATGTCTTTGTCGACATCTCAAAGAATTCTTTAAGATGCCTCTATACTGTCTGGGTTTTAACGGAATTCCATGAAATTCTACTGGAATTCCACGTTATCTTACTGAAATCTTACGGAATCCTGGAATCTAATGGAATTCCTCGAGGAATTCCATGTAATTTCTTGTAAATTCTTAGAACTATTTTAAACGCTAGCAAACAAAGACTCTCTGGACAACAAAGTCCTGTTTTCCAATTTAGCCGCTACTACAGGTACATAGGTACAAACTAAAAAATCGACTCATCAAGCAAACTATAAGGAATCCCACTGGAATTCCAAGGTAGTTCACCCCATCGTTCAATTCACATTTTCAAAAACATATTTAAATTATTCTTTTTCACTATCTGTATAGGAGTACTTTTTTTCAAAAAAAAAGGCTTATTTTTTAAAATATAATTATTTAAAAATCGAATATTTTAACTGGCGCGAAAACACAAGACGAGTTTTTGACGTCACAAACCCGAAAAATCAAGAAAAATGCGAGGATGCCAAGTTTCTCATTAGTCATTACACAACTCGCTACCCAGAAACTATTTTCGTCCTTTACTACGTTATAAAAAAAATAATAGATACCTAGGTATAATCTTTTGAGCTCATTTAAATTTCGCATTTCTAAATGTGGCAACAAGCATGTCAAAATAGGCTCTAACCAATCACAGGGCGTTTTCAGTCACGTGATTTTTTTGTGAGTGCGAAGCCGACATAAGTACATTATTACGAAAGTACCTACAAGCATGAAGTAAAAATTTAATAGCATTTACTTGAAATACAAGTGCAAGTTTTTTAAAATACTTCGATTATCAAGTAAACTTGAAATTTACTCAAATTTCATCAAGTAAAAACCTTTAAGCTTCAAGTGCCATTACATAATAGTAGATTATACCACGAGTCAATAATGATAGCTATTATTCCCGAGGATTATTACGAACTGAGCCGCGTTAGCGGCGAGGGAGTAACATTCCGAGGGAATAATAGCCATTATTGCGAGTAGTATACTCTACTTTATTTACGACAAATTAATTTATTTGAGATTTTCAATGAACAAATTTCATCCGTCTCATAATTTTCAATACAAATCCACAAGCACTACACGTTTGACACTGACACTTTTGTGGAATAATGACCATTAATCCCGCTACTCGTCATTAATCCCTGGAGGAATAACATATGTCATTATACTGCCAAAATCACAAATATAATACGCACATTATAGGTACATTAGTCGTAAATAAAATATATTACGTATTTGAAGTATGTGATATAATATATAGGTACTTTAACTAAATTATTTGAAGTAATTTTTGCGATGTTTTGTAATCATCGTATTTTTTTCACAATATTCGTTAATATTTGTATTTTTGCAATTTTCGTAAATTTTTGGATTTTTCATGTTTTCTGTATTTTTTTTGGAATTATCGTGGTTTTCGTAAATCTTTATATTTTTCATGTTTTTACGATTTTTTGTATTTTCCTTGTAATCCTTGTATTTTTTACAAATATCGCATATTTTTGGAATTTTCGCAATTTTCATTAATTTCTGTATTTTTGACATTTTCGTAAATTTTTGTACTTTTCATGATTTTTGCAATTTTTTGTAATTATCGTATTTTTTTCGCAATTTTTATTAATTTCTGTATTTTTGCCAATTTCGTAAATTTTTGTACTTTTCATGATTTTTGCAATTTTTTGTATTTATCGTATTTTTTTCGTAATTTTCGTTAATTTTTGTATTTTTGCAATTTTTATATTTTTTATTTTTTTATCGTATGTATTTTTTTCGCAATTTTCCTAAAATTTTATATTTTTCATGACTTTTGCAATTTTTTGTATTTTTTTTGAAATAATCGTATTTTTCATGATTTTTGCAATTTTTTATGATCAGCGTATTTTTTTCGCAATTTTCGTTAATTTTCGCAATTTTCGTGAATTTTTAGATTTTTCATGTTTTTTGTATTTTTTTTGGAATTATCGTAGTTTTCGTAAATTTTTATATTTCTCGTGCTTTTATGATTTTTGTATTTTCTTTGTATACCCTTGTATTTTTTTGCAAATATCGCATTTTTTTAAATTTTGCGCAATTTTCATTAATTTTTGTATTTTTGCAATTTTCGTAATTTTTTTTATTTTTTTAATGATTTTTGCGGTTTTTTGTAATTATCGTATTTCTATTTTGTTTTGAATTTTTGTGATTTTCATACATTTTTATGATTTTTTTGAATTTTTGTAATTGTATAACAAAAATCATAAAAATTTATGAAAATCACATAAATTTAAAACAAAATAGAAATACAATGACTACAAAGAAAATATGAAAAATCGTAAAACTCACGAAAAATATAAAAATTTATAAAAATTACAAAAATACAAAATTAAAGAAATTTCGAAAAAAATACGATGATTACAAAAAATCGCAAAAATCATGAAAAATACAAAAATTTACGAAAATGGCAAAAATCCAGAAATTAATGAAAATTGCGAAAAATCCAAAAATATGCGATATTTGTAAAAAATACAAGGAAAATACAAAAAATCGTAAAAACATGAAAAATATAGATTTACGAAAACCACGATAATTCCAAAAAAAATACAGAAAACATGAAAAATCCAAAAATTTACGAAAATTCCAAAAATACAAATATTAACGAATATTGTGAAAAAAATACGATGATTACAAAACATCACAAAAATCATGAAAAATACAAAATTTACGAAAATGGCAAAAATACAGAAATTAATGAAAATTACGAAAAATCCAAAAAAATTCGATATTTGCAGAAAAACACAAGGGAATATATACAAAAAAAATACAAAAATCGTAAAAACACGAAAAATATAAAGATTTACGGAAACTACGATGATTTCAAAAAACATGAAAAATCCAAAAATTTACGAAAATTGCAAAATACAAAAATTAACAAAAATTGAAAAGTTGCGAAAAAAATACGATGATTACAAAAAATCGCAAAAATCATGAAAAATACAAAAATTTACGAAAATGGCAAAAATACAGAAATTAATGAAAATTACGAAAAATCCAAAAAAATTCGATATTTGCAAAAAAACACAAGGGAATATTTACAAAAAAAATACAAAAATCGTAAAAACACGAAAAATATAAAGACTTACGGAAACTACGATGATTTCAAGAAACATGAAAAATCCAAAAATTTACGAAAATTGCAAGATACAAAAATAACAAAAATTGAAAAGTTACGAAAAAAATACGATGATTACAAAAAATCGCAAAAAATCATGAAAAATACAGAAATTTACGAAAATGGCAAAAATACAGAAATTAATGAAAATTGCGAAATATCCAAAAATATGCGATATTTGCAAAAAAAACACAAGGGAATGTATACAAAAAAAATACAACAATCGTAAAAATACGAAAAATATAAAGACTTACGGAAACTACGATGATTTCAAAAAACATGAAAAATCCAAAATTTACGAAAATTGCAAAATACAAAAATTAACAAAAATTGAAAAGTTGCGAAAAAAATACGATGATTACAAAAAATCGCAAAAATCATGAAAAATACAAAAATTTACGAAAATGGCAAAAATACAGAAATTAATGAAAAATACGAAAAATCCAAAAAAATTCGATATTTGCAAAAAAAACACAAGGGAATATATACAAAAAAAAATACAAAAATCGTAAAAACACGAAAAATATAAAGACTTACGGAAATTACGATGATTTCAAGAAACATGAAAAATCCAAAAATTTACGAAAATTGCAAAATACAAAAATAACAAAAATTGAAAAGTTACGAAAAAAATTACGATGATTACAAAAAATCGCAAAAATCATGAAAAATACAAAAATTTACGAAAATGGCAAAAATACAGAAATTAATGAAAATTGCGAAATATCCAAAAATATGCGATATTTGCAAAAAAACACAAGGGAATATATACAAAAAAAAATACAAAAATCGTAAAAATACGAAAAATATAAAGACTTACGGAAACTACGATGATTTCAAAAAACATGAAAAATCCAAAAATTTACGAAAATTGCAAAATACAAAAATTAACAAAAATTGAAAAGTTGCGAAAAAAATACGATGATTACAAAAAATCGCAAAAATCATGCAAACTACAAAAATTTACGAAAATGGCAAAAATACAGAAATTGATGAAAATTACGAAAAATCCAAAAAAATTCGATATTTGCAAAAAAACACGAGGAATATATACAAAAAAATACAAAAATCGTAAAAAACACGAAAAATATAAAGACTTACGGAAACTACGATGATTTCAAAAAACATGAAAAATCCAAAAATTTACGAAAATTGCAAAATACAAAAATTAACAAAAATTGAAAAATTGCGAAAAAAATACGATGATTACAAAAAATCGCAAAAATCATGAAAAATACAAAAATTTACGAAAATGGCAAAAATACAGAAATTAATGAAAATTACGAAAAATACGAGAAATATAAAAATCTACAAAAATTACGAAAGATACGATTATTCCAAAAAAAATACAAAATATTGCAAAAATCATGAAAAATACAAAAATTTACGAAACTTGCAAAATACAAAAATTAACAAAAATTGAAAAGTTGCGAAAAAAATACGATGATTACAAAAAATCGCAAAAATCATGAAAAATACAAAAATTTACGAAAATGGCAAAAATACAGAAATTAATGAAAATTGCGAAATATCCAAAAATATGCGATATTTGCAAAAAAAACACAAGGGAATATATACAAAAAAAAATACAAAAATCGTAAAAATACGAAAAATATAAAGACTTACGGAAACTACGATGATTTCAAGAAACATGAAAAATCCATAAATTTACGAAAATTGCAAAATACAAAAATTAACAAAAATTGAAAAGTTGCGAAAAAAATACGATGATTACAAAAAATCGCAAAAATCATGAAAAATACAAAAATTTACGAAAATGGCAAAAATACAGAAATTAATGAAAATTGCGAAATATCCAAAAATATGCGATATTTGCAAAAAAACACAAGGGAATATATACAAAAAAAATACAACAATCGTAAAAATACGAAAAATATAAAGACTTACGGAAACTACGATGATTTCAAGAAACATGAAAAATCCATAAATTTACGAAAATTGCAAAATACAAAAATTAACAAAAATTGAAAAGTTGCGAAAAAAATACGATGATTACAAAAAATCGCAAAAATCATGAAAAATACAAAAATTTACGAAAATGGCAAAAATACAGAAATTAATGAAAATTACGAAAAATCCAAAAAAATTCGATATTTGCAAAAAAACACAAGGGAATATATACAAAAAAAATACAAAAATCGTAAAAACACGAAAAATATAAAGACTTACGGAAACTACGATGATTTCAAGAAACATGAAAAATCCAAAAATTTACGAAAATTGCAAAATACAAAAATAACAAAAATTGAAAAATTGCGAAAAAAATACGATGATTACAAAAAATCGCAAAAATCATGAAAAATACAAAAATTTACGAAAATAGCAAAAATACAGAAATTAATGAAAATTGCGAAAAATCCAAAAATATGCGATATTTGTAAAAAATACAAGGATTACAAGGAAAATACAAAAAACGTAAAAACATGAAAAATATAAAGATTTACGAAAACCACGATAATTCCAAAAAAAATACAGAAAACATGAAAAATCCAAAAATTTACGAAAATTACAAAAATACAAATATAACGAATATTGCGAAAAAAATACGATGATTACAAAACATCGTAAAAAGAATGAAAAATATAAAAATGTACGAAAATAGCAAAAATACAAAAATTAATGAAAATTCCGAAAAATCCAAAAAAAAAATACGATAATCAAGAAAAAAATAAAATACGATGAGCACAAAAAAAATATGAAAAATCGTAAAAAATACGAGAAATATAAAAATCTACAAAAATTGCGAAAGATACGATTATTCCAGAAAAAATACAAAATATTGCAAAAATCATGAAAAATACAAAAATTTACGAAACTTGCAAAAATAAATTGCGCAAAATCCAAAAAAATGTGATATTTGCAAAAAAATACAAGGATACAAAAAAAATATAAAAAATCGTAAAAAACACGAAAAATGTATAAAAACGTACAAAAATTGCGAAAAATACGATTATTCTAAAAAAAATACAAAATATTGCAAAAATTTTGTATACACTTTGAATTCAGGTGATAATACATTTTAGACCACTAATGACAGTTGTCAACTGTCAAATTGTGACAGGTGCAAATTTTTGCCTACACTTTAACTTCGGGTGATAATACAATTTGAAATACTCAACTTGTCAAATGTGATTTTTGACAGAGGGTGTCATGTCATATGCCTGCCCGGTGTCCAGAATCGGAAACGCCATAAGATGTTGAAAAAAATGTACACATGTTAACTGTCAAATGTGATAAATGGAGTCGATGGAGAGATGGGCAGATTGTCAGGACTACTCCCGTCTTTAAAAATAATTTGCTTTTTCAACAAATAAACAAAATGTACTCATTTTTTTTAGCGTAGTAGCACACATCGGATATCTGCTAGTGAAAAATAAAAAGAAAAAATATACAATATCTACATACTAGTGGGAAATATAAGCAATTGAAAAAGTTAAAAAAAACTGAAATTTTCAACTTTTTTGAATTTTTTCGACTTAACTTTTTGGATTTTCTGAATTTTCCCGTTTTGTTTTCACTTTTTTTTTGAGTTTTTTCAACTTTTTTGTTTTTTTTTCAACCTTTTCGGGTTTTTTCCACAATTTTTTTTTTTTATTTTTTTCGACTTCTTTTTTTTACACTTTTTTGTTTTTTTTTTTTTCTTCAAGTTTTTAAGGTTTTTTGACATTCTTGAAGATAATTTGGAATTTCAACCTATTCCGCATGCTCAAGAGCCTGTCCAATCTGTAGGGATTTTTGGAATTTTTTAAAATTTTTAGAATTTTTTAAAACAATAATATGAAAATTGGCATTTTGCAGAATTTTAGAATTTTTGGTGTACAAAATTAGGCAGGTGGATTCACCCTCATATTAATTGGAAGTACAAGTACAGAATAAAAAAGTAACCTAAATAAAATACTTGAACTACCTATATGTACCTACTTATTGAAGTAAAATTTCAAGTAATTTACTTCAAGTACTGACAGCTCTTAGTGGAGTGTATGTTTTTGTAATTTAGGTGTACCTAGGCACAAATTCTTTTGAGTGACCTACCTTTCGGTGGAAATATAAGGAGTTATGAGAAAAACAAATTTGGGAAAATCCAAATAAGAGTTGATTAATCGAGTAATTATTCCCGACTCTCGTTCAAATCAAGAGCCGAAAATAATCAAATAGATCAACTTGATCAAATAAAATGTGATACCCATTTTTGTAGCTTCCTGTTACTTTAAATAATGATCAAATATTGAGAGGAAAATGGCGAATTTATGGTATAGCAACAAAAACATTCTAAAACAATGTGTTACCTTTTAGAAATAATCATTTTGAGCCGGGAATAATCAGGCTCTATGTTCAAATCAGACAAAATTGTCTCAGAATTTTTCTATTTTATAAGATAATTAGATACAATTAACAATGAAGGTTATTTAGTATAATCATGCCGGCGTACTTAAGATACCTATACCAATATTAAGTATATTTTTCTTTTTGATAATCCTATCTAAATTATTAATCAAATACGTAGGTACTTATAGTCTCCTCATAAGTGTACGTTCTGGATGTCTACGATTTATAAAAACCTACTTGAAAATGGAATGGAAAATAGATAAAAACAAGTTAAAATTAAATTATTTCAATTTTTGAAGATAAAACCTTTATATTTTTTCCATCTTGAGTTGACATGCGGTCTGATATATTTAAATTTTCTAGTTACGTTAATTTTTAATCAATCAAAATTTCTCAGTCAGTATAATATGTAGATATTTTCTGTATTGCAAATCAAAAAGATGAAGCACAATTTGACTAAAACTATGTAAACATAAATACTTAAATCACGTTTCAACATCAAGGATCGTGTATTGTGTCCGTTGACCTTGTGTCCAAATTAACTAATTAATAATCGAAATAGATAATTCGGTGTATTGATGACAAAAGTCAAAATTGCATAAAACAATTTCATTTTTACGTCACACCATACCTATTCAACCTAGATGTTGGACTACAATTTTATAAACTTAGATTTTTCGCTGAATCTATATAAGTACATACAAGTAATTAACCTACATTTCCTCACATCACTATACTGTGTGTTTTTATGTAATTTTTTTTTTTTGTTAGTTAATTGATTTTTAGAAAAAATTATTAGATTTTTTTTTCCTAATTGCAAATAGAATCCTTGAAGTGTGAAATTTATGTTTTTTTATTTTAGGAATCTGTCTAACAAATGACGTGGACAACCTCCTGAACCACATGAATAACGCCCGCTACCTGCGTGAGTTGGACTTTGCCAGAATCGACTTTTACGAACGCACCAAATTGTACGAACGCACCGTTGCCAAAGGAGGTTCGGTTTTCATTGGTGCCTCCACAATCCGATACAGAAGGTTCATCAAAATTTTCTCCAAATATTGCATCAGCACCAAAGTAAATCAATTACGTTTTAATCACTCATTAAACTAATTTTAATTTGTAGATCGTTTACTGGGACAATCAAAACGTTTATTTGGAACACAAGTTTATAACGCACAAAAATTTTGTGAATGCTATTAGTTTGTGTAAGTTGCGTTTTGTCAAAGTGGATGTAGAGGAGTTGATGCAAAATCTTATGGAAACTTTGCCCAAAAATGTAGAAGGCTGTGTGAGGCAAAAACCACTTAAGCCCTTGGAGCTTGAAAAATGGATTGAAAGCAATCAAATTTCAAGCGAAAATTTATTGAAGAATGTTCAAAAGACTGATTTTTTTGTTGCTTAATTAAATAAATATATTTTTTTATTACAGTGAATTGATAATTTTCCTCTTTCTCATTTGTTCTAGCCAAGCCTCAAGCATTTCGTGAGGCTGTTTGGGATGGTTATAATAATAATGTTTTGGAGGTTTGCCTTCTTCTAGCCTCAAAAAATAGTGACAATGGAAATATTCAATCACTCCAAATCTTCCCCTGCCGTGCCTGCGCATTCCTTTTATAACTTTACCTTTTCCCACAAAAGATTCAGCTAAAAAAAAAAATATATGTATCCTCAAAAACACTCAAAAATCACCAAAATATACTCACCCACCCACATATTACTTGCAAACTCAACATTGTGCTCTTTAACAGCCAATTCTTTAGCCTCCTCAATGACTTCTCTAACATCTTTAGCCCCTTTTTTTGGTATAAATTTTAATTGTTTTATAGCCTCATCTACAGGCATGCCTCTGACCAGGCAGGCGATGTACCACATTTTCCATGGGCTGTATTTTATGTTAGCTCTTTGATGACAAATAAACTAAAGAGAATATATACTTGAATATGAAAAATAATCAAAAATTGGGAGAATTAGGATTGAGGGATTAATCACAACATATTTAGGTTTACAAGAGATGTCTTTATGCAAGAGATATTCACAAATTTCCCAGTATTACCCGGGATCCCCCTAAGATTTCTCCAGATTTCTTTAAATCTGCCAAGATTTTGCTAGATCTACCCAATTTTTCAGGGATAGAATACCAGCACAAATGCTCAGCCAGAACACAACTCCCGAATTCATTTTCTTATAACAACATGTAGATTTTCTCCCTGGCAATACCCAAGCTTACAATGAAGTATAATATTTTTATTTCAGCGGAAAACCTGGTAACATGATAATCCTCTAGGATATTCTCAATCAATAGAAATTTTAAACGCGCCCAATATTTCCCTCAAATTTCCCCCAAATCTCTCATAGATCTCCTTGGATTTCCTTCAGATCTCCCAATCTCCCCAGATTTCCCCAAACCTCCCAAGATTTCTCTGAAGAGTTTTGATATCTCCTCTAGAATATTCTCAATTAATAAAAAATTAAATTCTGAACGCGCGCACGGTAATATTTCTCTCAGATTTCTCCACATCTCCCATAGATCTCCTCAGCTTTCCTTCAGATTTACCCAAATTTTCCCAGACTTCCCCAAACCTCCCAAGGTTTCCCTGAAGAGGTTTGGATATCTCCTCTAGAATATTCTCAATCAATAGAAAATTAAATTCTGAACGCGCGCACGGTAATATTTCCCTCAGATTTCCCCACATCTCCCATAGATCTTCCTAGATTTCCTTCAGATTTACCCAAATCACCCCAGATTTCTGTGGATCTCCTCAGATTTCCCCACACCTCCTAAAAATTTCCTGAAGAGTTTTGGATATCTCTTAACAATAGAAAATTAAATTCTGAACGCGCGCACAGTAATATTTCCCTCATATTTCTCCACATCTCCTATAAATCTCGTTCAGATTTACCCAAATTTCCTCAGATTTCCGTGAATCTCCCCAGATTTTCCCAAACCTCCTAAGATTTTCCTGAAGTGTTTTGGATTCGATAGAAAATTAAATTCTAAACGCGCGCATGGTAATATTTCCATCAAATTTCCCCACATCTCCCATACTTAAATCTCCTTAGATTTCCTTCAGATTTACCCAAATTTCTCCAAACCTCCGAAGATTTCACTGAAGAGTATTGGATAAGTATCTCCTCTAGAATATTTTCATTTATGTATAATAAATACCACAAGAGAATAGTTATTTTATGCAACAAGTGTGTAAAGTGAACCTTTTACGCTTTACGCACGTATTGCATACAAAAATTTTTCTACTACCAATCAAATATGTGTAAAAAAATAAATTAGGACAAATACTTTACGCACTAGTGTGTGAAGTAATTTACCAGAAAAATGCCAAATTGACAGTGTTGACATCTGTTATTGACATTACTTTACACACTAGTGTGTGAGGTGAATTACTTTACGCACTAGTGAGTGAAGTGAAATTTTACATCTTCTGAATAGTGCGTAAAGTGAGTACTTTACGCACGGGAGTAGAAAAAAAATTTTGTTGACAAAATTTTAGGCTGGTATGAAAGTTTGTTGCTTGGTAATTTCGCCGGACAAAAAATTTCATGAGCGAAATTACCAAAAAGCAACAAACTTGAATAAAACCAAAAGAATAATTTTGCCTACATGAGAGAAACAAGCCAAATTTTCATTCGGAATGGGAAACCGGCCGTTCCTATGACATTTTGCCAGTGTAGAACACTCTAGTGAATAAAAAATTGAATTCTGAACGCGCGCACGGTAATATTTCCCCCATATTTCCCCACATGTCCCATAGAACTCCTTAGATTTCCTTCAGATTCACCCAAATCTCTCCAGATTTCCCCAAACCTCCCAACATTTTTCTGAAGAGTTTTGGATATCTTCTGCAAAGTGTACACTGGATATCCCGTTATGAATGACCCCTTGCTAATTACGTGAAGATCGTATTGAAATTAACAAAGTTGTAAGACAAAATGTGTGTCAATGTCATTATTGAAGCCAATCAAGATTCGGGAATATTCAAAAATTGAATTTTAAAACCAATCAAGGGCCGGGAATATTCAAAAATTGAATTTTAAAGCAAATCATAAGCCAGCCAGGAATTATCAAAAATTGAATTTTAAAGGAATCAACGGAGCTGGGAATATTTAAAAATTGAATTTTTAGGTCAATGAGCCAGGAAGATTGAAAAATTGCATTTCAAAACCAATCAAGAGGTGGGAGGATTCAAAATTTTAATGTTAATTAAGGACAGGAAAAATTCAAAATTCGAATCTGAGCGCCAAAACAAGCTAATGAAGAGCCAAAAATAATTAAAATTTGAATTCAATATCCAATCACTACAAGGCCAATCAGGATCCGGGAATATTCAAAGATTGAATTTTAAAGTCAATCAAGAGGCAGGAATATTCAAAAATTGAATTTTAAGCTCAATGAGCTGGGAAGATTGAAAAATTCCATTTCAAAACCAATCTTGAGATGGGGAAGATTCAAACTTTTAATTTTAAAGTTAATCAAGAGCCGAGAATATTCAAAAATCTATTTTTAACGCCAAAACAAGTCAATCAAGAGCCGGGAATAATCAAAATTTGAATTCAATAACGAATCAAAATCCGAGAATATTCAAAAATTGAATTTCAAAACCAATCAAGAGTCGGCAAGATTAAAAAATTGCACTTCAAATTTCAAAATGAAAGTCCCTATCTTCTTTATTTTTATTGTACCTAATTAATTCAGCGTCCCAGTATTACTAAAACCTCTAACTAAATTTCAAACCTCCATTTGACCAAGGGGTAAATTGCTGGGAATTACAATGTACAAAATCAGGGAATTACCAGGAATTATTGGGAAACATGTAGGAATTGTTTGAATATTGAGGAATTGTGGGAATGGGAATTGCCATTGCCAAGGAATTGTTGAAAATACCAAGAAATTGTGGGAATTATTGAGGAATTATTTGAGAATTGCGAAGATTGAACATATATGCATTGAAAAATGTTTACTGTGCAGTAGTCAGATCTGTCACTGAATATGCTTGTCCTGTATGGTCTCCCTATTATAAAAAATGGATCGATGAAATTGAGAGAGTCAAAAAAAAGTTTCTGCGTCATGTAGGATATCGACTAAATATTCCAAGAGATGAACTTCAATATAGTGATATATTGGCTCTCTTGGAAATATCGTCAATGGAAAAAAGAAGATTGTATTTTGATCTATGCACATTGTGAACGGTTCAATTGTTTCACCGGCATTGTTGCAAATAATTAATTTTAAGGTACCTACAAGACAAACTTGACAAAATATAACCTTTGGTGTATCCTCCCATGTAACAAATTATGGTTTTTAATCACCTATATCTAGAATATGCAGAGAAGCAAATAGGCTTCCACCTACTGTTGATTTTTTTTAACTCCTCTTTCAATAAGTTTAAGATAGACATTAAGAATTACTTAAGTTTAATGAAAATGAATGTTGTTGTAAATGATCTTTGATCGTTAATAAATTATTATCATTGTTGGATTATTACATAGGTTACAAGGGGGTGGGGCTACGTTGGACCAACGCCAATAGCGTGCAAGTTTTAAACCACCGAGTATATGATTATGGAGCAAAATTACTATTCGAGTTGCTTTAACGTGAATATTAAACGATAATTCAAGAGTAATGTCTTTATGCTTCAAGAGGCATAAGATGTCTGCAAAATATGTCTAAATTGAAGTTTTTCATTGAGAAGGTAATGTTTAGAACATCAGCTTCAAAAAGCATTAATTTCTCATTAAAAATCATATCAGGAAACTAGGATATGCTGGAAAAAGCATAAATTATGTAGTTTTTAAACTTTAAAGTTAGTTCTTTTCCCTGATTAAAACAAAGTTGGGACAACACTCGGGACAACAAAACCAAAAGTCTCTAAGTATTTTTGCCTTTTCAGTCTACCCTAATAGTTCTTAATGACAATTTGATAAAATTCAATTTCAATATAGAATTCAACTAAGGCAGAAAACCAGATTAATGAGAATACAGGATAGCAGTTATCTGCTTGTCATTTGTATTTTGTACTTTTGCGTTTTTAGCATACACTTCAAAATTCTAATTTTATAACATGTAATATGTTTAGCTAAGCTAAGGTTTCCAATGAGCCACTTTCACGTGTCGAGAATATGGCAAATTATGATTTTTTTGACGCAGATACATCAATGCAACCGAGAATGAACAATATTTTGCAGATAGTATTAGAGTGACTAAAAGAATAGTTTAAATATGTTTTTGAAAAATGTGAAAGTGGCCCATTCATGACGATTTTATTGAATGGGGAGGTTCTTGAAGTGCCTGTATTTGAGGAAGTTTCAGTATCCTCGGAAAGGATGTGACAAGTACCTCCTAGGAATCTTTGAAAGGATGTCGCTTAGTAGGAGAAGAATAAAGATATTTTCATTCACATTGTTTTGTATACTCAAGGGAAACATTCTGAAGCCAATCACCATTTGCCATAAATAGAATAAACTCGCGAAGTTCTAATGTTTTCTATCTAGCCTATCCTCGCACAAATTTTTACAAAGGCTCGCCTATTTACAGAATGTGCCATTACATTACTTCAATAATTATGCTTCTGCAATCGACATTGATGCAATAAGTTTGAGTGAGTTTAAGAAATTAGTTGACAATAAGCTGAGATCCATCAAATAGTTTTAAAAACTTTTGTTATTTTTGTGTATGTAGGTACCATTATTGCAAGCGGGGAAGGGTAGTGCAACTATTGATATTTTCAAGGAAATATTGATTGGTATCACTGGGAATTACAAGAAATTACTAGGAATTAAAGTATTATTGAAATTGAGAAGAATATCTAAGAATTGTCAGGAATTATCGTCCCATCTCACTGCTAAATACACTTTCGAAAATTATTGAAAGAATTGTTAAGACTAGGCTGATTGAATACTTGGGCAGAAATAAAATACTCGACTCGTCGCAGTTTGGTTTTCAAGAGAGAAAAGGTACCAATGATGCTATTTTCTCTTTTCTGGAAAAGCTTTATTTGAGTTTGAATGATGGTGAGAGGGCCGCAGCGGTGTTTTGTGACTTTTCTAAGGCGTTCGATTGTGTCGATCACCGAATACTGCTGCGGAAATTGAGCCATTATGGAATCAGGGGTAGGAAGTTGGAGTGGTTTAGGTCTTACCTAACTGGGAGAAGCCAATTTGTAAGATTGAATCAAAAGAACAATTCAGAACTCACCAATTTAACGCATGGCGTCCCACAAGGGTCTGTGCTTGGACCGCTCCTCTTCCTGCTTTACGTGAATGATCTGGCTTCTTTGGCGATTTCCGGATTTTTTACCATCTTTGCGGACGATACAACAATTTTGTGGAAACACAGGGATGCTTCAGTTCTAGCGCGCATTATAGAACAAGACCTGGGTATCGTAAAGGAGTGGTGTGACTGTAACCGGTTGGTATTCAATGTGTCAAAAACAAATATTCTTTCGTTTAAGTGCAACTTGGAGAGTGTAACACTTAATGAAAGCGTATTGGAGAACAAGAGCTTCGTTAAATTCCTTGGTTTTCATATAGATGCTAATTTAAAATTTGAACACCATATCCAAACAATGAACAAAAAAGTTTCGCAAGCTTGCTATATTGTAAAAAGCATACGGCAGGAACTAGGCAAACATATGGCAAGAAACACCTATTATGCATTGATAGATTCCCAAATCAGATATGGAATCGCATTCTGGGGCTATGCAACTTTAAGAAATGTGCAATCTGTTTTTGTCTTGCAAAAAAGAGCCGTGAGGTATATTTGCCAAGTTGACTGTAGGCAGAGCTGTAAACCACTTTTTATACAAGAAAGTATTTTGACAGTACCAAGCATATTTGTTTTGGAAACAGCGTGTCTTGTGTTTAAGAGATTTCAAGGTTTTGAAAGAAATTCCTTGCATAATTTGCGAAACAATAACTTACCTTTGCCAATCCCAAAATCTGGCTTAACAAGAAATTCTATTATTTACGAAAGTATCAAAATATTTAATTATTTGCCGAACCAAATTAAATGCCAAAACAATTATCAAGGGTTTCGTAAATCTCTCAAGGAATTCCTAATTGAAAAGGCATACTACAGTCTTGAAGAATTTTATCAGTAAAATTTAGTATTTTTATTATAACAATCTTTTGTATCATTGTTCCCTCATACATAATAAAATTGTCAATTCTGAAAGGTCCCAAATACCTAGTTGTTTTTTTGTTTTAGCATTTATTTATTTTTATATTGTTTTATAGTGTTAACAAGGTTTCAAATATGTATATTTTTTTATTTTGTTTTTCTTCTTTGTTTGTGTAGGAATTTTTATATATTTTAACTATTTTTGTTGTATTTTATCCCAGTTACTTTACTGAAATTATAAGAAATTTATTATTTATTATTATTTTTTATGTTTTTTTGATGTGTTTTTGATGATGTTGTTTCTGCTTTCTTCTATGTGCTTGTGATATTAACATTTCAGTCAATTTTATGTCGTTATATTTTGATCTCTTGAAGTGATAGATAGGTACCTACTCAACTTGAAAAATCAATTGGGTATTAGTTTAATTATTAATTTGAATATTATTAACTGTGATAAAAATTAAAATGTGTGTATAGTTTAAGAATCGCTTTGTCAATGGTTTTTATAAAATTTAGACAATAAAGCATTATTGAATTGAATTGAATTGAATTACTAGGAATCAGTTGGGAATTATTAGGTATTGCTAGGGAATTGTTAGGCATTGCTAGGGAATTGCGGGTAATAGGTGGAAATTCAAAATAATTCTCCAATTAGCCAGTGTGGTGTACAAAAACTGGATCAGCGATTTACCGCTTGCATTTAACTAGGTTTTTGAAATGTGGCAACATAGTTTTTTTGTTAAACTTTATGGAAACAGTCTCACATTTCAGAACAGACTTTAGAAAAATTTGATAATGCATATTGAAGATTTATAGGGGAGCTCAGTACTATTGTAGGCCCGGTAGGAACTATTGTACATTTTTCTAAAACTTGTTCTGAAATAGAAACAAGACCGTAACCATACATACATTTCAACAAAAAAGCTGTGTTGCCACATTTCAAAAACCAAGTCAAAAGAAGATTTGGCATTAATGGCATTTGAGGGTTTTAGTAAGGTCGGGACGCTGAATTAATTATGTACCGTAAAGTGACATAACTTTGACCAGTTTTCAACTTTACACTGCAATATTGCATTACTTGAAGGCGACAAAAATCAAACAAAAGTGCCAATATTGGGGCTGTACCTGATATTATAGAGACATGAAATAATATTTTTGGTTCCATCAACACAGACCGGTTTTTTAAAAAAAAAATGTTGGTCGTCAAAGTTACGACCTGGGAAGGTAACTTTGACCACCGATCTAAAAACTGAAATAAACTAATGTTACAGCCTCACAGAGTAAGATTGACCAGTAAAAATGTTTGAATTTTTTTTTATAAGGCTATGAAAATCATAAAAACTGAGTTAAGAATAAGAAAACTATAACATTTTAACTCATTTATTCATTCTTTCTCCAAAAGTCAAAGACATATTAACAAAATGTTATTATCTAATCAACTTTAACTAAAATTCTAACGGAAATAACATAAATTTTTTGTTTCTAATCAGTCAGTTGCATTATATCCGCTGGAATTGCATATTATCATTCATAAATCTAATATTGCAAATAAAATAAACCTCTATTCTTTGGCATGAAACAGAACACATTAAAAAAAACCCTCTACCTAACCTATTTAATTTCTACTTGTTAATTTCACTCTATTTCTAGAGGATTGAGAAGAAGTTCTCCAAAAAATAACCCCTGTTTTCTATTTGAAGAATTCTTTAGTTTCATAACTATTTGCTCTGGTTCTATAATCGATTGAACCACTACCTACGTTTGGCCAGAAAAAAATTAACTTTTTATTTCGTAAAAATGAAACATCAACTTCCGAATCATTTGAAATGACCCAATGACCGGTGGTCAAAGTTAGGAACGCAAAAAAAAAATGGGTTAGAAAATTTTGAAAAAATTCCTTGAACTCTAAATAAAGTGTTAACGCCAAATCTAAAACATGCATTTGCGGACATACATAACAGGATACTCACTGTGAGTAATGATGACTCCTGATTATATTTTGTTTGATTACCACGAGGGAAAGTTTGCAAGTGACAATTTTCAACCAACTTTTGGTTCAAACGGTCAAAGTTTATTGTGCATCTGATTTTTAACTGAACATGCATTCCGCAACACAGTGCCAGTTATTAGACATTAGACTGTTTGTAGGTAGAAATCACCAGCAATATACATTCACAATTTTTCATTTAATGATCTTTTGGTCAATGTTAGGGGAGCAGTCAAAGTTAGGGGACTTTACGGTACAATAAAATTAGGACTGACTTTCAATTAAAAAAAAAATTACATGCAGCATCTTAGAAGCGGTAAACTTGGCAACATTGCAACTAACACCAATGAATCGGGCATACCCAATGGGAGGGCGATTTGACGTTCTCTCAATTCAATGTGGTGTGGCGCCATGGGAATAACACACCGGACAACTGTAAAGGCACGTTTACGTTCAATTCCCATTAATATTGCAACCAATTGGAATTGAATGTGAAGGCACCTTCATAGTCGTCAAGTTTGTTATGCCCTCGTCGCTATTTTGAATTATCAGTTGATTCGAATTGCCTAATCTTGTTCTGGAATATTAGAGTAAAAAATAGATAAAGACAACCCTGTATACTTATCAAATTAAACCGAGATTTAAAGATCTCAAAGTGTGGATTTAGAACTTAATTAAATCTTACTTACAGCTGGTCGTGGTTCTTCGTCCGGTTTCTGAGGCGGATAAATTTTATTGTTGTACTCGAGCCATTTAGTGGGCTCATTACTTTTGTTCTTCCAAGCTTCCAAGCAAGGACTACTATGAAATAAGGTTTTTTGAAAGAAAAGGGGCTTAATTGCGATACAGGAAGCTAAATTTTGTTGAAACAGGGGCCGACAGAACTTTGGGACACATTTAAGGGCACAATTTAAAGGCATTTTGATTAGTTTTTTGAATTTGATTCGGGAGAAAAATTCATAATAAAAAAGTGAGGTTATGTTTCATGAAGTGTGACTTTCCAACAAAAGCTCTTCTTTTTTCCTAGGAGACATTTGTAGCGATTTCTCTTGATCAAACTCAAAGGGCGCGTTCTTTTATTCAGCAATGGATCCATCTGCTGACAGCATTATAAGACAGACATTCCTATTTTCTATGAGCTAGACAAAGAAAGGCTGATTACTGATGGATCCACCGCTGAATAAAAGAGAGCACCAAAATTCAAGTCAAAGTAGGCTTTGTAAATTCCCGAACTGGCGGCCATTTTGCCGATAAATATTTTCATGTCGTATGTGCGGTGTCGTTTTGTTTTTCGGTTTTTCGCAAAATTTTGTAGTTTTTCGGGAGATTATAATGCGGAAAGGTGTTTTGAGAGTGTGCCTTGGAGTGTTTTGCCTTTGGACACAAGACAATGACAGAAATTATGTATTTCTGGACTTAGAAACTTTCTGTGCTGCTGGGGCCATGTAAATAGCGAGGTAGGCACTGTTTTGGTATCATTTCATTGATAGCAATTAGTTTTGCATTAAACTTCACTTATTTTTATTAAAATAATACTTTTTTTGTTGAAATAATACATTTTGTACATTTTTAAAAGAAAAGTCTGGCTTCCTACAGTAGTTTGTAGCTTTACGGATAGATGGCACCAGTTTTGTAGGGAATTTCGAATTTACAAGCAACCATGCCAGAATTTAGTTATTTTATTTTTATTTAAGTACCTACTCTACAATAAAAATTATTTTATTGAAAAAGAAACCCTTATTGGCTTGCTTTACGCATGTCTGAGTTTCGATCAAAGTCGGCCTTGTAAATCCCCGAACTGGCGGCCATCTTGTCGACAATTTCATGCCGTGTGTTCATTCAATCATTTTCCGACAAAATCCTACTGGGGGGCTAACTTTGACGCTCAGCCCCCCCAAAATTTTGGAAATCAGATTAAACAAAATTGAATTTTTATCCCTTCTGAACTGTGCTGTATCAGGTTTTTCTCAAAATTTCTATATTCAGTCATTTTCCAACAAAATCCTACTGGGGGGCTAACTTTGACCATCAGCCCCCCCTCTAAGTGTGCTGAACTGTGCTGTATCAGAGGTTTTTCTCAAATTTTCCATATTCGATCATTTTCCGACAAAAAAATAAGAGGGGGCAGTTGATGCCAAATTTTAGGGGCCACAACACGTGCGGGATTGTAAGCGTTTCGCTTTCGAGGAAACTTTGCTTGAGGTTGGGAGTTGAGACGGTTGGAGAAGAAGATTCAAGAATATTACACACTAAACAGGATAGCCTATTCTCATAAGGCCTCTGTAGATCAAATCTCAAGCCGCCGCCCACCGCGCCAAGGATCCAAAGAACCAGTGATAACGTAGCCAGCGTGTCGTTTCTCGCCTTGAAGTACGGTGTTTGCACCACAGACTATGATTCCGCAGGCTTTTGGCTTATGCATAGGTACTTGGTTTTAGTACATTAATCTGCAATCTAATACAACTCCTTTTCAGATCTCGTTTACATCTTCCTCTTTGCCTATTATGTTAATTAAAATTAAATATTATTTCTCATTTCTCTTCATAAATGTATATTCGAAACTACGACCGCTGACGCAAACAGTTAACGACACCGTTGATGACGTCGGTAACGTTGCAACATCATGGTCTTGATTCCAAAAATCGAGTCCGATGCGCAGACTTGTAGTAGTGTTTGATATCCTTGAGGGAGATTATGCGGCATTGAGTTCGTGGGCTGTCTATCGCCAACGTGCGTGTCAGAGTCGGATAATTTCTCAATTTCTCCGAGAGAAACCGTATTTGCATAAACAGGATTGCGCTGTTGCTAAATCCTATTTTTTTTAATGCGTTTTTTTTTTTTGTTAAATGCGGTTTTACACGGAGAAAACACCTAATAATCCGGAGCCCGGAGACCATAGCCGCTTTCCAGCTGTGTGCTTTAAGCACGGTGTAGCACAGTGTTCTGTGTTTGAAACGCAAAAGTTAGCAGCTCTCGAAGCGCAGGACGGCTGGAACACGAACATGCGCTTGAAGCATTTGCGCGCGCAAAAGCTCGATTGCGTGCTCAAAAGCGTCAGCTGGAAAGCGGCTCATATGTAAAAACCCGTAGACTCCGGGTGAAACCCAGAGAGGTGGCAACCCTACTCTTAAGTCGTTCGGGTACAACCAGTTAGAGCAAATCTTGACTCCGTATCGTTCGGGTGTGTTAGAGCAGCTTTTAAAGAGTTAACCCTACAAACCCTGCCTTGAGAAATGCTGGTCGTAGTGCAGGCATGCGCAGTGCGATAAAAAACTCATCTGATAGTTCTTTTTTCGTTATCTTTGAAAAAACAGTAAATCACTCAGGGGCGCAACTAGCTTGTTGGTTTTGGGGGGGCTTGAGCCCCGGGTCTCTATAAGTCGAATTCGTGACAGTATATGATGTTTTTCATGTTCAAAACTTACTACAGTACGTATTTCACATATGCCTGAATTTGACGGAAATACTCTGCTACAAATTTTGTTCTTCGATACAATCTACGTTCTTAGTTGAAAAAAAAAAAAAAAAAAAAACAAAATTATAAAAGATGACGGACGCGTTCACCAAATACAAACGTTGGTAAACGCATGGCGATTGTTCTGCTGAACGCTACGTTGAATTTGTGTTGAAACCAAACATGTTTTGCAAACGGTCGCCATGTTTCCAAGCATAATTTGAGAGTGTTTATAATTTTCAACACTCTTTGTGCTTTGTGTGGTGACATGACATTCAGAGGGTGACGTTCTATCATTGAAAAGTTGAATCGTTCAGTCTGCTGAACACACACTAAAACCAAGAGTTTACCCAACGTATTCTGTTGGTATTTGTAAACTGTTCACAATCCGTTTTGGTTTTGGTGAACGTCATTTTTATGTACATACATACATAATATGTAAGTAAAAATATATTGAGTTTAAAACTTCCTAAACTACTTAAATCGGTACTGAAAACAACTTAAAAACTGAACAAGTTCTGTTAAATTAAATTCCTCCTAGGGCCAGTTTCTCAATAGTAGTGACCATTTCCACCAAGCAAAAGTTAAGTGTACTTAACGTTAAGTGATCCTTAGGTTAGATTTTGCTTTACTCCACGTTTATTTTATTGTATTAGGGATCACTCAACTAAACCTTAAAAATTCTCAGCTTAAGGTTCACTTATCGTTAAGTAGAGATGTGCGCATGCGCTAACAACGTTCAGATTGTGCCATAACATAAATTAGGAGCCACAGAATTAAATTTTAAGCTCATTTTCTCCCAAACCCTACTTTTTTCGGCGACACATAGGTACTCCATCTGTTTTTTTTTTTTATGTTAGTGATATTAGCAGCTCTTTTACCTTATGTAGTTTTGTGTCCGGCTCTTTTTGGATAAACTCTCAATGTCTATTTCTATTCCCCGACTCCACACTGCTTTAGGCACCTTCGTGTTCATTCACACACAATGCAGAATGCAGGATAAACTACGGATATCTAAACCTTTCCTCTATGAAATAAATCTAACCCGGACAACAGCAACAACTATTATTAATATTTATTATTATAATCTTATAATGTTATAAAAATTAGCGGGAGTGTGTCGAATGACAGATAAAATTGACACGACTTGCGTAAAAAACGAAAAGTAGGTACCCAAATATTTCACTACAAATGCAATGTTGCCAATGCTTTACGACACAGCTAAGCTTGCATCCGAAAACTCTGGTGGAACGAAATTATATTTGAGTGTCCCTCAACTTTTAAGGGCTTCATAGTTAATCAAAGCTTAGATATAGTTTGGTGGAAAGGGCCATGTCACCCCGGGTTAAGCATAACTCCGGAGTAAACATAGCACTCTTACCCTGGAGGTGACTCGCTATTGAGAAACCGGCCCCTAAGTGCACAAACAGACACGGACCAGCAAACGGAAGGGTCAAAAAACTGTTGTGTCTGGTTGTGTCACTGGAACGCACCCTACTTTAAACTTGGTGTTTTTGATGCCCCCACAAAACAGCAGGTGCTTGAAAGGGCAGGGGAGAGGAAAAAAAGAACAGTTCAGTTGCGCGAAACTCTAATGCACTGGAACACCTATAAACAGTCCAGGGTGCTCTAGAGTAGCTCAGGAGTGTTTAAAGTGCGTCACTGGAAAGCGACTCAGATCTGCTTGCCTGGGTTTGGGAGGGCGGATGGCTAATTTGTGTCATTAGCATCATGTTTGTAACCATCGGGTTTGGGGGGGCTAATCTTGAGCTGAGGCCAAGTTGGCTAGTAGGATTTTGTCGGAAAATAACCGAATAAGTATGTAAATTTTGAGAAAGCCTGATACAGCAGAGTTCAGTACACTTCAGATTGGGAGAGAATTCAATTTTCTTTCATCCAATTTTCAACATTGTGAGGGGGTTGAGCTTCAAGCTACCTCCCCAGTAGGATTTTGTCGGAAAATGACCGAATATGGAAATGTTGAGAAAAACCTGATACAGCACAGTTCAGCACACTTCAGATTGGATAGAAATTCTATTTTGTTTAATCTGATTTCCAAAATTTTGGGGGGGCTGAGTGAGGGTCAAGTTAGCCCCCCAGTAGGATTTTGTCGGAAAATGACCGAGTATGGAAAATTTGAGAAAAACCTGATACAGCACAGTTCAGCACACTTCAGAATGGATAAGAATTCTATTTTGTCTAATCTGATTTCCAAAATTTTGGGGGGACTGAGCGTCAAGTTAGCCCCTCATCTATTTTTTTTTCCTATAACTTTCTTATCGAAACGGCACAGTTCAAAATATCATCGGCACAGTAAAGCACACTTCGAGCACAGTAAGTGGTTGCAACTTTTTTAGAAAATTCGAATGTGGGGGGCTAACTTGACAGAGCCGCATTTCGGGCGGTTTTAATGTTGAAAAGTGTTCGAAACTGTTCCTCGGGGTGTTTTGCGTTCGATTGGCACACTAAGTACAAAACAATTGAAAAAATGACTTGTTTTTGGACTTATATAAACTTTGTGTGCTGTGCTGCTGGGGCAATGTAAATCGCAAGGTAGGCACTTTTGATTGAAATTACACTTATTTTCGAAGTGAAACTTAAAGAGTAAATTCGTTTAATGCGAGTTGCTATATGTAACGAAATCATGCAATCATGTTAGATATTTTCCCATATTATTATCGACCTGAAAAACCTTAACATAGTATCGATAGCTATGAAATATCTTACTCTATTCAAAAGCTTTGATAGCGATTTCTTTTGTCAAAACTCGAATGATGAGTGCAGATTTAGTGCAATTATTGAAAGAAAGCATTGTTACTGGAATTTCCAATATCTTTATTATAAATAAACAACTTCTCAACTCTTCCAATCATCTTTGTGACTGTCAACCAAAATTTTATAAGCCACTTTGCCGTGATCGTTTTGGTAGCTGGTCAACGACGTCATCAGCCTTGCCGGCCGCATGTAACCAAAAACTAAAATATATTAGTGAAGTAACTTTCAAATTTTACACTTACTAACCATTTCTGGCTGTATTCAGCGGAGGAATCGGTTTTTTATGTTTAGATCCGTACAACTTGTGACAGTATTCCAACAATTCGTTTTCGAATTCGTCCTGATGGCTGAATTCGACGTTGGTTTCCGACGATTTTTTTGGCAGTTTTAGATTTTCGCAATGGGAGATTTTGTAAGTTGTGCGCATACGTTTCAAGTACAAATTATAAATCGCTTGTTTGATTTTTGGTAAGTTTGCCAACTGTGAAAAGTTATTTTGAGTTTATAATTTGTGCAAAAACAAAAAAGTACCTCTTCGTCAAGGTCCAAGTTCAAATTTAAGTTCCAGCAGTCATTTTGGAGCGCCAAATTGGTCAATTTACCTGGAATAAAGCTGAAATTTTGTTGAAATATGTTTAAAATTTTAAAATATCACTTACGGAAGGGGTCTCGGCTGCCAGCGCCATCTGTAATGGTTCTGATAAGTCGATAGAAAAGCTTGAGCCATTTTTTAACGATTTTTGCTTGAAAATTTAAATTTGGTTCACAAAAAAATGACTTTTAAAATGATATATAACCTGTGATATAACTGTCTCCGATTTGAAGGCTAGAAAAGGGCTGATATTCAAACCTATCGATACGATATTTTTTTGCTTCTACTGCTTTTTTATATCGATAATAGAGTTAGGAAATATCGATACGACATCTCTTGCTATAATAGGTTTGTTCGACTTAGTTCAGAATCAGTTCTGCTTACGGAAGCACTGCTGATCTAGGATCGGTTCGAACAGTATCCAGCTGTTCAAGGAGTAGTAACCTATCTAGGTGGAGCTAGTTCATTTTCCGAACGGTTGGATCCGCAGACAAGATTTTTTGAAAGGAGGAGGTTGCCTGATAACTTTAATGACGTCATCTGTATGCCTCAACATAATGCAAATCTCCATAAGGCACTCCAGATGCGTTATCAAAGTTACCCAATTACCAGACAACCTATGAGCTTTAGGATCCTTGATCCGCAGAGGAATCTTGCCCAAATGACACCTTCCAAGAAACATTATTTTGATTTTTTGATTTCAATTTTATTTCAAGTTTTCAAATTTCAATTTTTTTGGCTTTTTGCTGTTGAAGATGTCCGCCACATTTGTTTTAAAGACAAAACCGGGGTACGGCTAATGTCTTGTGTGTACTGTGTAGATGGTGAGCCCGTTTTACAGTAGGAAAAATCGGGTGTTCCATTTTTAATGCTCACAACTGTACACTTGGCCAATCATAAAACTGGTATGCATTTTCCTATTGTGTTGTATTATGTAAATCGACCTTTTTAATCACCTTAACAATGACAAAAGAGTCAAGTCAGTGTCATATTTAAACCAATCATAACATAAAAACATGTTGGATTTTCTTTTGTTCAGCTTTGACGTTGACAAAAACTGTCTGACTTTTGTTGTTAAGCTTGACTCACACTAGGCAAATTTAAAAAATATATATTGTCTTTACCAGTTTTATGTTTGGCCAAGTGTACAGGGTGGCCCATTTTCGATGTTTTAATGGGCTATATCAAAAACCAGCAGAGATATCAAAAATCTGGGAGCACATTCTTGAGCTCTTTTTTTGGGAAAATAACAATGGCGAAGACAAATTACGGCTAACTTGATGCGTTTAGGAAATACAGGGCAAATTTCAAATTTTGTCGAATTTTAAAAGACTCTAATATCCTTATTATTCAAGAAATCCAAATACGAATATAGGCAGTTTTTCAAGTAGAATCCAGTAGCATGACCAATTTTTTTCCAGATGCCACCGATTTTGGAATATTGACCAAAGTTGTATTTCTTCAAATAGGACACCCCATATATTATTTTTTCGTTGAATAGCTCTCTGTGAGCTGATTTCAATGATATAAGATTTAAGATTTTATACCTTTACCTTCAATAGTTTTGGAGAAAAAAATAAATTCCGTTTTTTCCACAAGAAACTAATTTTTTTTTAATTTGAACTATGAATCGGGGGTGATAAATAGGCAAAACATAATTTATTTAATGACTTATCTCTCCACCGGCGTATACAAGGGGGGGGGGTAATGGGGGTAATTACCCCCCCCCCCCCCCCAAGATCGTTGCAATGGACGAAAAAAATGTACCCTACACCTTACAAATAAATCTATTTTTTATAATTTTTCTTTTCACTATAATTAAAAAGTTTAAGGCGAATCTCGTAGCGAATTCCATTGGTAAAATCAGTGCAAAAAAATTTATTTCTATCTCTTTCTTATACAAGCTGGTAGAATAGGACACAAATACACTCAGTGCGCACTAACCCTTATTCCAATGGAATTCGCTATCAGAGTTCGGTTTCGTTATTTGTTGGTAGTACAGAATATATTTACCTAACAAGCGCGGAAAATAAATTTTTCCGCACGAGTCTGTCGTTCACCGAAAAACGCGTAGCGGAATTCTGTGAAGCAGCCGAGTTCGGAAAACAGATTTTCCGCATGTGTTAGGTACAATAGTTTTTCTACAGACGTGCGGAAATAAGTAGGTACATATACCTACATAATTTGTAGTAATTTATTGTTTTTTTTTTTTGACAGCAGTGCGGAACATATTTTTCCGCACCGATATCCGTGAGGAAAAAATTTCGCCCCACCGTGCAAGAAAATCGATTTTCCGCACTGTTTAATTGAACCCTATGCTGGAACAACGTTTCAAACGCCAAATATACCAAACAAGCGCGAAACTAGGGCAAGGTTGCACTTAAAACGTTGTTCCACAAAAAGGACATACTGGGCCTTTTGAAATGGCATCAACAACTCATCAAAAAAAAAATATCCTATGACCCCACTATTGGCGAATTATCCAGGGTACATACAACTTAGTTCCATGGATATACCGTTTTTATACATTGTCGTTTACAACGTTGTTCCAGCATAGGGTTCAATTGTCCTTACTCTCGTAGAAAAAAAATGTTTTGAAGGCTCAAAGTAAACGTTTTTGGGCGTGGCACCCGAAAAAAAATGGGCTGATTACCCCCCCCCCCCCCCCCAGACGCATGGGCTGGATACGCCGGTGTATCTCTCTCTAGCTCATTGTTTTTTATGGAAAAACGGAATTAATTTTTTTTCCTCCAAAACTTATAGAATAGAAGGTAAAGGTATAAAATCTTATTGAAATCAGCTCACAAAGAGCTTTTCAATAAAAAAATAATATACGGGGTGTCCCAATTAAAAAAAACACAACTTTGGTCAATATTCCAAAATCGGAGGCATTTGGAGAAAAATTGGTCATGCCACTGGATTCTCCTTGAAAAACTGCCTATAGAAAGTATTTTTCGTTTTTGGATATCTTGATTAATAAAGAAATTAGAAGGACTTCTAAAATCGTGCAAAATTTGAAAAGTGCCCTGTATTTCCTAAACGCATCAAGTTAGCCGTGATTTGTCTTCGCCATTGTTATTTTCTCAAAAAAAGAGCTCGAAAATGTACAGGGTAGCCCAAATTCGAGCCTCATCATTGGGATTTCGGTAACCGTAAGATAAACGGAGTCGGTTAAATTATGGCAAAGTTACGTAATTTTATGACCAATAGAATGCCGTTTTGAAACTAGAAAGATTCCGAATACTTCCGGAGATATTCGGAAAAAACCGAAATTTTGTAAAATCGTTTTTATTTTTTCCCTGGCTTATTTGAAAAGCAATTTATTTTAGGTCAAAATAAACGGTGTTGAAGAAGATATCGTTTGCCAAATCGTGGTCAATATTTGGTGAATTTTAATGGTCCAAAGTTTGTTTTAATTGTTATTTTTGGTATCAGTTTGTGAGTCGAGTTTTTGTGATTGATAATCCGTTGGCCAAAGTTACGTAAACATTAATTTGTTTAGTGAAAGCCTATTGCAAGCTTCAGGGTATTGGCGTTTTCTTTGTGTGCATTTGAATATTTGAGAAAAAAAAGCATTGTATTCTCTGGGTTTTTAATAATATGCAGATTTAGTTTGATGTTTATCAGTATAACATAAACAAACCAATATCATTATTTTTATATGAACAACTGTTCATTGATTATTGTTTGCAGCTGAATTGATTAGACTGCTAGCACAACATCATAAAAAAATGTGTCCTGTAGAAAAAATGTGCTATTATTGCAAAAAAAAGGTGATAGATTTTGTAAAATGCAGTATATGCAATGCAGTCTTCTACCATGATAGCTGTGCCAAAAAGAGCGGTGCTATGAAGGGCAATGTAGTAAAGTGTCAGCCTTGTTCTAAAAGCTTGGCAAAGGCATCCAAGGATGTTGTGGAGACTCAGGTACCTGGAATATCAGTGGATTTATTGCAAACATTGCAGAAACTTGAGGAGTCTATGACTTTCTTGAGCGACAAATTTGATGCACTTACTCTAAAAAATCAGAAGCCACTGAAGGAACTAAAAGAAGTTAAGCAAGAAAATGTTAAACTACAGACAAAGGTTAAAGATCTGGAAAAAAGAGTTCATGAGTTAGAAATCAAAGATTGCTGTACCAGTGTGGAAATTATAGGTACAAAAATAAAAAATGAGAACCCTAAAAACGTTGTCATGGAACTGGCAAATGATTTGTTGGGCTGCAATTTTGATGGTCAGGAGCTTACGGAGTGTTCAAGGAAGGATACAAAGTCAGGCCCGATGATCATAGCTAAGTTTACAACTGTCGAACAGAAGAATCACTTCTTAAATCTTAGGAGAAAGCGTAAATTGGAATCAAGTTTGCTCCGAAGTAATCAGGGTGAAACTAATAGCACCAATATTTATTTTAATGAACAATTAACTTTCTTTAACAACAATTTGTTTAAAATGGCTTACAAGCTTAAGAAGGAAAAACAATTCAAGTACTGTTGGTCTAAGAATGGAAGGGTCTTCATAAAGAAGAATGACAACTGTCCAGCAATATGTGTTTATAATGAGGATATAATTAATGATTTGCATAAGTGAATTTGAAATACATTTTTTCTTATTGATAGGGTAATTACATCAACAATGGCTGGGGTACATCAGGAAGCTAAGTTTGTTGCTAACTTTGACCTTAAGTCTAGTAATATATCATACACTTCTACATCACATTTCAATATTCTTTACATCAATGCTCGGTCTATGAGGAACAAGATGGGTGAGTTGGAATCATTGTTTAATAGTTTGGATCTTCCGGATGCTGTTGTTATTGCAGAGTCCTGGCTTTCCTCAGATGAAGAGAATTACTTTAATTTCCATGGTTATCAGTCAGTGTATGTCAGTAGAAATAAAAGAGGCGGTGGAGTGGGAATATTACTGAGAGATGTTTATACTTTTCAGGAAATTGCGAAATGTGAAGCTGATTGTTCTATGGTCTTTGTTTGTGTTGAGGAGGTGGATATTATTGTTGGAGCTGTCTATAGGCCTCACTTTGATTACAACACCTTCATGGGGATTCTGGATGAGCAGGCTAATACCCTCTCTGGCAAAAATAAAACTTCATGGATACTGGGTGACTTTAATGTCGACTTCTTAAATAATAACATTCATCGAGATTTACTTCAGCACACAACGGATTCCAATGGTTTTGCAATTATTAATCAGACTGTTCCGTCAAAAGTGATAAGCAACACTAGTACTTTGATTGACTATGTGATAACAAATAATCTAAAGTACAGCAACAAACTTTCGTTGACGGATTGTGCTTTGTCTGATCATCGGCTGCAGTTTTTGAGTGTGGACCTAAATAAAAAGGGCTATCTTCATAGTCGTACTTACACTTTAACCAATCTAAATAAAGCTGCATTTCAAAGAGGCTTAATATAGTTGAATAATGTTTTATGGAATGATCCTAACCTGCTGTGCGATGAAATAATTCGAACATATCTAAACTGTTTATATCATAAATCGTATGTCAGCAGGTTTCGGAAGAATAGCGCACCATGGTTTAACATAAGATTACATCGCTTATTAAAGCAACGTGACTATTATTATAAAAGACATAAATTGTTCCCTAACAGTGACCTTGTACTGAACAGATATAAAGCATCCCAAAAAGAATTAACCATAGACATATCTAATAAAGAATATTATACTAGTGAAGTTAATGTACTCAACACTATAATACATAATTCCAACCATAATGCAGGAAACAGTAAAACTCTTAAACTTTTAATCTCAGACACTTTGGTTTCTGAGCCACTTGAAGTAGCTGATAGCTTCAATAATCATTTTTCTGGAGTAGCAGCAACTCTTGCAAACAACATAATAAGCGCTATACCCTCAAACTTCGTACCACAGGCAAACCAAAACATGGTAAGTTTGCGATATTGGGACAATGCAACAATTGATGAAATAGTCAATGTAATGAGAAATCTTAAACCAGGCAAGTCCCCAGGAAACGACAAACAGGAAACGACAAACTAAGTATCGATATAATTAAAGAATTTTGCTGTGAAATATCTCCACTCTTGTGCATGCTCACAAACCTTACATTCAGAGAAGCAACCATTCCAAATATGTTGAAGATGGCATTCCATTATTAAGGGAGGAGATAGCACCTCACTAAACAACTACCGTCCGATCTCAGTTTTGACTGCTATTTCAAAGGTGTTGGAGACTTGTGTCAATAATCGTCTGAATGCCTTTCTAACTTCAACCAGTTTCTGGTACCCTCGTCAATATGGCTTTAGGCAAAACAGCAGCACAGCGTCAGCAACAACAGATTTGTTAAATAACATATACAATAGAATTGATAAAAAGTTCAAGTGTGTTTTGGTCTCCTTAGATTTAAAAAAAGCGTTTGACACTGTAAACCATCAGGTATTGTTGTCCATTCTTGAAAGGTCTGGTATAAGTGGTTCAGTTCTGCTGTGGTTTCGGGATTACTTGAATGGTAGAACCCAGTTTGTTGCTTGCGGTGGTGAAAGGAGTGCTATTGGAGACATTCAGCATGGTGTCCCGCAAGGCTCTATCCTTGGACCGTCTCCTTTCTTGGTCTACATAAACTCCATTTCACACCTTTTACTACGTGGAGAACCATATTTATATGCAGATGATACATGCCTATTATATTCTGGTAGGAGTCTGGTTGAAATGAAAGATGCCATTGAGCGAGACTTGGAGACAGTGAGTGACTGGTTATGCTTTCATAAATTAACTTTAAATATAGAAAAATCTTGTTACATGGTTATTTCCAAGAGTGATGATTGGCCGGACTTAGTGATAACATTTCAAAACCAATTACTACAGCGCAGTTATTGTATTAAGTATTTGGGACTTTACATTGACTCAAGACTCAATTGGGAACAGCATATCTTGCTTTTGTGTAAAAAAATCGCACCAGCAGTAGGAATCCTAGGCAGAGTAGCAAAATTCTTGCCAATATTACATCGCAAAATGTTTTACAATTCTCTAATACATTCCCATCTATCATACCTAACACTGCTGTGGGGAAATGCATCCAAGAATAAATTACACCCATTGTGTGCCCTGCAGAATAGGGCTATCAAGCGCATATTCAATCTGCCTTTCCGTTTTCCCACAATTGATCTGTATAAACCCAACAAAATTTTGGATATATACTCGCTCTATATTTATCAATCCTGTATATTTCTTTATCGCTGCAATTCATCGACTGTACAGACATCAATCACACTTACTCCGGGAAGCATGATTCATCATTATGGCACGAGAACAAGAGAAGATTTCAGAACATCTGCCATGACCACCACCACTGGACAACGTAGTGTTCTCTGTGAGGGTTTAAGATACTTTAATATGATTAGTCCACAAATTAAAAACAGTAGTCTAAACCGCTTTAAATCCTCTCTGAAAAGTCTTATTTTTGATAACTTTTTTGCAAATATGTGTAATTAGAAAGTATGTTTATTTATAACTTATTCTGTGTGGTTTCTTATTAAGAGCCCCACTACTACTTTGTACTGTTTTTAGTATATTTTGTATGGCCCACATAGTTTCAAAGCTCAGGGTCTTTAGAATGTAAGTTTCAATATACCTTGTGAAATATATTAATTGAAATAAAGGAATTAAAATTTAAAAAAAATTTCAAAATAAATGTCACTTTTTCCCCTTTAGAAGATGGTGCTACTAAATTTAAAATTCGACGTTTCGTCTTCAGACGGCCATCCTCAACTTGCGTTTTTTAAATACGGACCTAGATTTTTTATTTGCGATTTTGTCATCTTTGGGGATCCTAAAACCGATACTGTTTATAACTTTTCAATAACACGGTAAAAAAAGCAGGTCCATATTTAAAAAAAATAAATTGATGATGATTCCAGAGGAACGAAACGTTGGTTTTCAAATTTAATTCGGCCATCTTGTAGAGAAGAAAAAGTGACAATGGGAATGTGAAATTAGTTTTTCAAAATCTTTTTGAATGGAATCAGGAAAAAATTTAAGAAAAATTAAAAATTCATGTTTTTTTCGTATAGTTTTCATTTTTTCCTGATTTTATTTAAAAAGATTGTGAAAAACTAATTTTACATTCTCATTGTCACTTTTTCTTCTCTACAAGATGGCGGTATTAAATTTAAAATCCAACGTTTCATTCCTCTGGAATAATGGGCCACTTTCACATTTTTCAAAAACATTTTTAAATTATTCTTTTAGTCATTCTAATACTATCTGTATACTTTTTTTCCGAAAAAAACCGCTTATTTTTGAAAAAAAAATTATTTAAAAATCGAATTTTTAAACTGGCGTGAAAAAATGAACTTGGTGTGTGACGTCACACACCAGAAAATCAAGGATGCCAAATTCCTCATTAGTAAATCATTACATATTTCACTAGCTAGAAAATATTTTCGTCCTTTACTACATTATAAAAAAATAAAGGATAGGTAATCTTTATTAACTCATTTAAATTTCGCATTTCTACATGTGGCAACAAAAATGTCAAAATCGGCTTTAGCCAATCACAGAGTTTTCAATCACGTGATTTTTCGTTTAAATTTTTAGTTTTTATTTATCAATTTATTTAATAATCTGACTAAAATCTTGCAAAATATTGTTCATTCTTGGTTGCATTGATGTATCTGCGTCAAAAAATATTATAATATGCCATATTCCGGCACGTGAAAGTGGCCCATTATCAATTTATTTTTTTTAAATACGGACCTGCTTTTTTTACTGTGTTATTGAAACATTATTAATAGTATCGGTTTTAGGATTCCCGAAGATGACAAAATCGCAAATAAAAAATTCAGGTTCGAATTTAAAAAAAGGAAGTTGAGGATGGTCGCCTGAAGACGAAACGTCGAATTTTAAATTTAGTAGCACCATCTTCTAAAGTTGAAAAAGTGACAATGATGAAGTGACATTTATTTTAAAATTGCTGTTCAAATAAGCCCAGGAAAAAATAAAAACGATTTTACAAAATTTCGGTTTTTTCCGAATATCTCCGGAAGTATTCGGAATCTTTCTAGTTCAAAAACAGCATTCTATTGGTTATAAAATTGCGCAACTTTGCCATAATTTAACCGACCCCGTATCTCTTACGGTTACCGAGATTCCAATGATGAGGCTCGAATTTGGGCCACCCTGTACTCCCAGATTTTTGATATCTCTGCTGCTTTTCGATATAGCCTATCAAAACATCGAAAATGGGCCACCCTGTACATACAAGCTTATTATTTATACATCATTATTTTTGTTATTTATTATTGTTAATAATTAATACATATTCTCATCGCATATTCTAATATTTGTGCCAGAACTTCTCTCAAATTTTTTGAGTGAGTACCATTTAAGCCACTCTGGAGCTACTCTATTTACTCCAAAAAGTGGAGTACTTCAAGAGTGCACCAAATGCCTATTTTCAATTTTCATTGCTATTAACAGTGGCACATTAAAAAAATACTCAACAAAAAATAAATTAAACTGAAACTTAAACAATATTCATATTTAATAATAATAATAATAATGTAGTAGTAATAAAAAAGAAAATATCTTGGAATATAAACATTTTTGGTCAAAATTAAAGAAAATACAACCTAAACCTATTATTTAGCAATGCACCCTTGCCAAGCCAAGCCCCCGCAGGCCATGGACACTAACAAATAAATTATCACAATAACAACAGAACCAATAATGACGTAGAGTTTAATATTTTTCCAAAACATCGACCTGGCCAAATTCCTACTGGTTTGCCTAAACGAAACAGACTATAAGAAAAACAACATTAATTTATAAATGAAAATGTTACACTAGCAAATTCTTACTCCACTATTCAAATTCTCAGCCTTATTGACCAAAAGTTCCAACCGCTCGCCCCTCATGGCAACACTATCGATATTTTTGACCATAATATTTTTGAGCTCATCTAATTCGCTGTGTACTTTTGAAACCAAGTCTACATCGTGACTTTCAGAATAGTGTTTCATTTCGTTGGCCAATACCCTAGCGAACTCCGCATTAAGCGAATAAGCTATAGCTGTATCAGCACTGGGACCATAATGCGATTGAAATCTGCGTTTGATTTCGTTGAGGAATAAAAAGGCCCTGCTACGTTCAAATTCCTATAACAACAATAGTGAGTAATAATAATTGTTATATGTATGACTCACATTATCAGTAATGCACATGTAAATTATCCTGTTTTCACAAATGTAGTGGAACAAGTAGGTCCCATGTGAGTAGGTGAGTTTGTCGTTGTAATCTGGTATTTTAGAGATTATTTGTTCGGTTACTTCTGCAAAATTGCCAGCGCAACTGGCGTATTTGGCCAGGACTGTTGTGCCTCGGGATACTACGCTGTAGAGGATCGGCATCTAAGAAAATTGTATTCAAAATGTTGTCCGGATTATAAATAAGTTATTTTACCTTGTTTAATTAACAATGCATCAATAATAATCAAGAAAATGGAACAATATAATATAAAACAAAGAGATTGTTGGCAAACTTATAAACAACAGCTGATTTTGATTATTATTATTGAACCTGTCTGTTAGGAAAATTAGACAAATGACAAGTAAAATGGTTATGTGGATGCATTCAACTGACGTAAATAAAAAAAAATCGATTCTTCAATCATAGTAGGCAAAAAAACTATTCAAGACCCAAATTAAAAATGGAGATATTTAAAAAGTATATAATTTTCTTCCAAGACGATTCAAGTCTAGTTCCTATAAGTAGGTAGGTAGAGTCCGCGTCAAGAGTAAAGAATACGGTGACGTCTAATGCGCACAAACCCAATTTTGAAGATTAACCGAACTATCGTATTGTTCGGTGCTGCTGCCGAACGCCGAGCACGTGGTGCATTGTCGTACGGCCAGCAGGCATATTTATTTAGTTTATTTTCTATCCAAGTTTTGTCTAAAAAGATACCCCGCTGCTGGTTTCAGCTCACGGCCGAGGTCACGGCAGACAGCGAGAGATAGACGAGGGAGAGAGATCGGACCCGCTTCGCGCAGCTTTTCGTGACGTCACCGTACTCTTTACTGCTGACGCGGACTCTAGTTGCGAATTACGAAAAGCGAATAATGATCCTATTGGTTAAAATTGGCTTTCCGCCGCTTGACATATTTAAAATCATCCAATAAGATCATTATTCGCTTTTCGCAAGTATGTATATGAACTGTCTTTGATATAGGTACCTATTTCCAAATTAAGGCCGCGTTAATGGCCGTCATGTTTAAATTTAGTTTTTGAAAATGACGACTGCGCAATGACCTATAATCACAGATAGCCAGAGTATTCCATTCATAAAATACTATTTGTTGTGTTGACAACATGTTTATAGGCCAGGGGGGATTTGGGGTGCAGGCGGTCCATGGTGGGGATAAGTCAAATATTTTGAATGACATTGACAGATGACATTGACAGCTGACTGATGACGTCACGGCGTCGCGATGCTGAGTTACTAGGACCACAAATAATTGCTCCAATCGTATCACTCACTCCTTTTTCAGGTAACCTAACTGACCCAACGACGTGGGGGGTCCTATGCTAACCTATAACTAACCCAAACTAACCCTTGCTCACCATTGCTGTATACAAACCTATCTCTAGCCCTGTATAGGTGTATACAAACCTATCTCTAGACCTGTATAGCTGTTTCAGATCAAAGGCGCCGCCGATTTAGAGATTTTTCCCACGCTATCGAAAAAATTCTCAGGCTCAGGTGCCCCCGTTACTACTACTTTGACGATTCTTGGGTCCCGCCTCAAAACCAAAACGATGATATTCAAAAAGTTTCCCAGACTAACACGAACATATCTTATGTATCGGTCTTCTTTAACATATACTAATCATCATTGCATAAGATAGAGACAACAAGATACTCTGGGCGAGAACGGAACGTATTACTACGACAATCAGGAGGCGGAGTTTAGTCTAGTGCTGTTTTGCCGAGTGTAATTGTAAGGCAGAACTTTATACCTGCGTTAGAAAGAGAAAATAAATATTCCTACGACTAAATGTGGCATTTTAGTAATGGGGGAATTTGATCAAGATAGAAAGAATCGGACATGTTGTCAGCACATATTTTTGTTTATAAATCCGTCTATCTGTGATAATAGGTCATTGCGACTGCGTCATTCTACACATACGGTTCAATATTTTATTATTTGTTCAAAACAAAAACTGTTTGTCGGTGAAACACTTAGTGACAGAGAAAGACAAATATACAATTATGATGCTCCCAATGTAGCTTTTTTGCCGTGGTGCCATCTACTCGAAATTGCTTGAACTGTTTTCACCTTCAAAATTCGTTTTAAGGTCATCTCAAAAAATCCGCAATAATTTCCATAATACTTTGGTATAAACATTATTTGATATATTATCTACAATCTCTGCAATCAGCTTTTCTTAGTTTTTCATGGTTATCAATAAAATATGCTTTTCACGGATCCAAGCTTGATAAACATGCAAATATGCAACCACCAACACATTTAAATGTTTTGGTAGTTGCGAACATGATTTTTGAATTAAAAAAAAAAGGCTGAATATCGAAAAACCAAAATAAGGAATTGTAGATAATCGATCAAATAATGTTTATGCTAAATTTGAACCAATTCTGATGCGCCGTTTTTTTAAAGACTTTAAAACAAGTTTGGAAAAATCAACCAATCACAGTTTAAACATGGCGGCCATTAACGCGGCCTTAATTTTAAAAATTTCCAACTCGCGCCAAAACGGTAATGGGCCACTTAGTTGTGACGTCATTACACAGTAACTGGTGGTGTTGTCAGATGTTCGTTCATTGTTGGGTGTTTGGGTATTATTTCCTTATTTATTTCAATTGCTGGTTCCTTACACTCCTTACACTAGCATTTGATTAATATAGACTAAATGTTATTTCATAAAAGAGAATAACCAAAATCTAATGGCGTTTCCAGTTAAAAAATTAGTTCAAAGAAAATTTATTTTTATCTGTTTCTTTCACAGGCTGAAAAAAAGAGACGGAAATACACTCAGTGCTCATTAAATCTTCCAATCGCCATAGGAGAATCTTGTGGCTAGAAAAATTGCACTGTTGTCAAGTGTAACGTTGAATTTCGTAAATGTTCTCTTTACGACGGACGAGGATCCAACTCCATAAATTCTTTTTAATTTTAATTTATCCAGCAATTTTATCTTGATTGTTCTTAAACTTATTCTTTCTATTTTTTGGGATTTTTGGCACAATTTTTGTCTATTCCCAACTCTTGAATTGTTTCTCCATTTTCCCTTAATGTCTGCCTTTCAATTATCAAATTTTTGTCTATTCCCGGTCAGTTGATTAATTGTTATTTTGTTTTTAAGAGTTTAATTTATAGAAGTATTATTTTTTCATTTTTATGTTTTTTTGGTTTGTTTATAACATTTTTTATAACATGTGCATTGTTCATGTATTTACCAAAAATCGTTTCATGCTGTAAACAACACCGATAAAGAAGTAAATTAAAACCTGAGAAATTATGTGCTGGGATTTTGAGTTTGTGTATTCAGATCGTGCATTAGGGCTTTGTTGAATTTACTAACATTTTCCTACCCTGACGAGCGAATATCCTACCTAACCAAACAAAGGAAAGAGATATTGGCTCAAAATAACAAGTATAGCTGGGTAGCATCCCGTATGGGACCTCAGTACCCTCAGGCAGACCGACTAACAAAAACTCTTCAGTATTGATTATAGGTAGTATTGATTGAATGTAGTGTGTGTAATTAAAATTTTAGCACAAGATCAGGGGCGGTACCTAGTTTCATCAACTTTTATTGAATTAATAACTCACAATTATTATTAAAATAACACAGTATGTTTCGATTTTTGAGGAATGTTAGATCGAGAGTTTCTCTGCCGTACTCTTTCCCTTTCCCCTCGTTAGTTATAGGATGAGAACGGTACGATTTACTTTATTAATAAAGTAGACGTTTCACAAATTTCTCGTTTCTTTTACATATCACAGCTTTCCCTTAAATTTCCCAAATATTTGCTATGTCGGGCGCATGTCCAGTGAGTAAAATTGAGTAAGTTTCCACAACGTAGGTCCTATTTGTTTTTCATTTCGTTTTCCTGAAGATTTGTTGTTGAAAAGGTAATAAAAATTCACACCGTTCAATCTTGCTAAACGAACCCGGATATGTTATACTACACTCTTAAAACATAAGAGCTCGAAGGACCATTTAGGACACAAAATCTCAACAAAAAAAAAATTGAAATTTCATCGTTTTAGATTTATATTTTGGAAAATTTTGAAAGGTCATAAGTTTTTTTTCTATTAAAGATAGAAAGTTAAAATTTCCAGCGATTCTTATCCCATAAGGGGACTACAATCCCATAAGGTACTACCTTGTGATTTAGTTTGTGGAAAACTTTGAAAGGTTATAATTGTTTTTCTAATAGAGATAGAACGTTGAAATTTTCAGTGATTCCTATCCCAATAGAGGAATACCTACAATCCCTGAAAAACTCAGAGAAAGCACCAATGAAAAAAAATTAAAAAAAAACACGAAAAATTAAAATTGTTGAAAGAGCTAATTTCAATAAATCAAAAAGAAATAGACGAGCAGTAAAACGTAAACTTGTTACTGATGATGATGATGCATTTAAAACAGAACAGGACGAGAACCGAAGTGAAAAAAAGGAAAATAATTAATTCAGAAACAGGAAAACGTGAACTTGAAAATCTACCGCATAATTCAATGGTTTCAAAATCAAAATAAGGAAAATTATATAAGTAGATGTAATAATGCCTTGTGCTGCTGGTAACAAGAAAAGATGAAAAACGAATTTAAAAAAAAAACAATAAAAATGGCCACCATATAGTCCAAATAAAAGGAAAAAACGAAACATTAGTTTCAGACACGTAACTAAAAAAGTGAAGGATAGTTTAAAGCATGAAAAATGGAGAGATTTGGAAATGAATAAAGTAACTTTGGGAACAAAAAGGTGAAACTAGACCAGCTTGAATAATTCGCTGGACTATCTGCATTGGGAGCAATAAGTGGAGGGGCTGCTGGAATTGCTGAAGATGTTAAATGGTGCTAAGTCAGCTATACTCAACCAGTTGGAAGAAAATCAAACGAGAAAATTCATTGCCATGCCACGGAAATATGATGGAGTAATAATTAAAGCAAAATATTATTAATTTTTTCGTTTATTTTTTCTCCTAAATATTACAAAAAAAATAAGTCAAATATAATTCTTAAAATAATAAATAAAGTTATAATAACTACCAACTAGATTCTCATGTACTTTTTGAGTACCAATCAAAATTATAACCAAAGAGAAGTTTTATTGACTCAAAAAGTACACCAAAAACTCAAACAAACAAACTCCAGCATTGACTAGTGTGGCAAGATTACATATAAAAAATAAATTGTCAGAAACATTCGTTTAATAATACTCGTCCGTCTGCAATCATGAGGTTTGTTTCAGCAAACGCATATTTCTTTGGCAACAAACTTATATTGTAGGCAAGCTGGGACCTTTGACATTCTACTGGCCTTGACCGTCAAAAAAATATATCACAGCATCACGTCATAATATATCGGTAATACAAGTGTTTAAATTTAATTTCAACACTGAGTATATTTTTATATTTTGAAGAAGCAGCTCACACAATTTTTGTCATTCCAGTCGGTATGTTTTTCTACTGTGGGTACTTTTCCAAACAAAAACAGGTGCGGAAAGTTGGTGGAAAATTGTATGACAATTTTATCACTTTATCTGCATAATTTTGTGAGATCAGTAACTTTGCATTGCATTGTTTTAAAAGTCATTGTGTAAGCTACTCCGTCATGTTTCTGACATTCTAATAAACATTAACATTTTCGCATACATTTTTCAAACAAAATCACCTCTTGTGCAACTTGAACCACAAAATCAAATAAGTGGCCGCGTTCATTAGACACCAAATAAACACCACCAAAGAAATGTTAGACACCAGATCGATATTGACAATGTCCATTTCCTTCAAAAACTTAGACGGATCTTCATAATGACAATACGCTTCTTCTTCCGGACAATACAAGTTTTTCCGGTTGAATCCGTAAACGGCCACCACCACTCCGTGAAAGGCGGCCCGGAAATAGCTGATGCCGAACAACCACCTGAACATAGGCGGAGTGTCGGAACGTCGCAGGCAAAAACCGAAGATGGAAAAGCAACAGGCTAGCACCGGTCCGATGAAGACGGCGATTTTCGTGCTGGTACTGGCGCCTATAAAGTAGCCCATCGATTGGGCGCAAAGGGTGCCGATGGTGACGAAAAACACGAAAATGTAGGCTCTGTAGTCCAACGGTTGGCTGGTGAGCCAATAGGAGATCAGTATGTAGGTCCAAGTACAGAGAACCTGAAAATTGAAACATATTGGTAAAAATTACAGAATTGGATTGTTGATTTATGATTTTGGGAAAAAAAAAACTGATTCAATTATTGTAAAGAATAATGAACTATTATAGATGTTACCTCCTATATAACTTCGCTTTGATATACTTTTTTGATGCACCCTGTATTCTTGAAACTGACTTAATTGAAGGGACACTTTTGTCAGAAACTTCAAATGGAAAAGTTAGGAGAGGGTAATATTTACAAACAATAGATCTTCCTGTACGTCTCTCATTTTGGTTGTACAGGGTGGCCCATTTTTGATGTTTTAATAGGCTATATCGAAAACCAGCAGGGCACAGGGCACTTTTCAAATTTTGTCCAATTTTAAAAGACTCTCTAATTTCCTTATTATTCAAGATATCCAAAAACGGAAAATACTTTCTAGGGGCAGTTTTTCAAGGAGAATCCAGTGGCATGACCAATTTTTTTCCAGATGCCACCGATTTTGGAATATTGACCAAAGTTTTGTTTTTTTAAATGAGAGTATATTATTTTTTTATTGAATAGCTCTTTGTGAGCTGATTTCAATGATATAAGGTTTTATACCTTTATCTCCAATAGTTTTGGAGAAAAAAAATAAATTCCGTTTTTTCCATAAGAAACAATGAGTTAGAAAGAGATAGTTGAACTATGAATCAGCTACAAATTTCTTAATTCTTAATTTAATTTTTCAGTTCAGCTAATTTTTTTTTCAATTTGAACTATGAATCGGGGGTGATAAATAGGCAACAGATAATTTATTTAATGACTTATCTCTCTCTAGCTCATTGTTTCTTATGGAAAAACGAAATTATTTTTTTTTTCTCCAAAACTATAGAAGGTAAAGGTATAAAACGTTATATCATTGAAATCAACTCGCAAAAAGCTATTCAATGAAAAAATAATCTATCCATTTAAAAAAACACAACTTCAGTCAATATTCCAAAATCGGTGGCATCTGGAAAAAAAAATGGTCCTGCCACTGGATTCTCCTTGAAAAACTGCCTATAGAAAGTATTTTTCGTTTTTGGATATCTTGAATAATAAGGAAATTAGAGAGTCTTTTAAAATTGGTTAAATTTGAAAAGCGCCCTGTATTTTCTAAACGCATCAAGTTAGCCGTGATTTGTTTTCGCCATTGTTATTTTCTCAAAAAAAGAGCTCGAGAATGTGCTCCCAGATTTTTGATATCTCTGCTGGTTTTCGATATAGCCTATTAAAACATCGAAAATGGGCCACCCTGTACATAAGGGATATTTAAGTTCTTGTAACTCCAATAGCAACCGAGTTATCCTTTATGCTGGAAATAGTTTTCAAGTTTGTAAATTGACCACTAGGGGGCGCAACAAACACTCGAAAACGTAATACTATTATTATCTTCAAAAAACACTCACTAAAGGTATCTTAAAAATATGATTATTGAAATCTTGATGAAATTTCGAAAAAAATTTGTTAAGGAATTTTTGCCCTACCCCTTCAAATAAGAGGTGGGGGAAGGTTCAAACTTGTTAGGAACAAAAGTTATATAACTTTTTTGTTTTTCAACCGATTTCAATGAATCCGGTGTCATTTGGAAGAGTTTTTTTCTGTTCAATAAAATGCATAACAATAAAATTAAATTGTTTTGTTGCCGCTAGGGGGCGCATTGTCTAAAAGTCGACAATTTCCCATTTTTTCTCGGAGATTTCAAATATAATGATGCTTTTTTTATAATTTAGATGGAAAAAGGATAAAAAAATAAAGAATCCGGTGAAAACCGCAAGTCTGAATCTTTACCCTAACCACAAACTTGAAAACTATTTCCAGCAATTTTCCATGGTCTATTTTATCAAAAATTCTTTTACTTGGAAGCTCTAGGCTAGGACTATAATAGTTCCTGAGATATAGCCGGCGTCCTTTCCTATTTAGACACCCGGTACAACCAAAATATCACAACTTGTACGTACAGGGTGTTCCATCTAAAAGTATTTTTATTACCTACCTGAAAAGGTATCTCGATAAGTATCACAGACAGCAGGTAGGGGCTCAACTTGTACCATCTGTTGAAGTGTTCCCGGGTCAGGATTTTCATTTCGAGAGGGACTGAAATTGCAAAGAAAAAATTATTAATTTAATCAATCAACAATCAGGCGATTGGCAAATGCAAATTTCTGACATTTGATCCTCTGACGGCATTTTATCGCCCAGCCTGTTAACCTTATTCACACACTGACCTATTCTAATCGATGATCATCGATTTCAATTTTGTGGCCATGGGGTTATTACAATAAATTTTTAATTGGTAATTTAAATTTCTATGGTTGAAATAATAAAGTTTTACTTACACGACAACGTAACTGACATTTTTCCAGTGTAAACGTTCAGCAACATTGTTCCATACAAATAAACGTAGTTGGCCAAGATCTGATTAGCATTAGCGCCAACTCCTTTATACAAATACCCAAAAATGAAGCCGATAACAATGTGAGCCAATAGGCGATTGAGAGGATAGAGCCAATTTCTACGGGTTTGCAGCAGGTTGCGTTTGTAGAGCAAGAAAAATTGCATCGGAACTGGTGCCGGAGCAATCGCCGGGTTTTCCTTGCTGATTTTCAGGAGATCGTCTTTGGTGAAGGTTTTTAGGGATTCGTCAGTTTCTGAAAAAATATTGATGTTTTGAAAAACATTTAAAATTGGGTAATATAACTCACTTTTGTTTCCATACTCTTTAATTTGACTTTCTTTCGCACCCTGAGCCAACACGTCAATATTAACATTGTGCTCGCCAATAGCTACTTCCATTACTGAAAAAAAAAATGTATCTATAGTTTATTTGAAAATGCGGAGCAGTTGTAAATCAATTGTCATAATTGACTCTCGCCATAAGCGTCCCATTATATTATCCAAATAAATTACTTACAAAAATCTGCAGGATTATGATAAGGCGGACACTTGATGTTGTAGTTATTCAAATAAGGAATCAATTGACTGCTGGGTCCATCGTAAATGCACTTTCCAGCTGTCAAAGCGTAAAGTTTGTCAAACATTTCGAATAAGAGCGCCGAGGGTTGATGTATGGTGCAAACGATGGTGCGGCCTCTCTGGGCCAAGCGTTTGAATAAGTAAATGCATTGGCTGCAAGAGGCGCTGTCCAAGCCGGTAGTAGGTTCGTCCAGAAACAGTATAGGAGGGTTGCTGAGCAGTTCCAAAGCAACTGCCAGTCTTTTTCGTTGACCGCCCGATAATCGGGAGGTGAGTGTGTGGTGGCATTGGTCTAGGCCTAGTAAAGCCAGAATTTCGACTACCTGTAACAAATGTAGACATGTTGAAATTCAAAATTCATGTGCGTCTTTCTCAAAATTTTTTTTATTCAAATAATGGAAATCTCAATAGTTATAGAGACAGTGAAAGTTATAAGTGATTAGTACATTTATGAAGTTAATTAATTGTTGTTGGTAGTCAAGAGACTTCCAATAGGTAGACTTGGCACTGGCTTGTAGCATCGGCACATCCAATGTAAAACAGAACTCTCAGGTGAAATGTACTGAAAGTTTGCTTAGATAGAGAGGATATCAATGAATGATATCACACTTCTAGTGGACAATTGACAAAGTCAGGATGCCACGTCACACTTTCAAAATTTCCAAGTAGGCTCATCCATAATGTAATCATCCATTGGTACATCCAATACAATGTGAGACATATGTGTCAATTGAAATGTACTGAAAGATTGTTTAGATACAGAGGATGTCAACTGATGACGTTACACTTTTAAAATTTCTAAGTAGGCCATCCATAATATAATTATTTATTGGTACATCCAATACAATGTGAAACAGATAGATTTAGATACAGAACAGAAGATGTCAATATTGATGACGTCACACTTCTAATAGAGAATTGACAAAGTCAGGATGCCACATCACACTTTCAAAATTTCCAATCTAGATCATCCATAATATAATAATTATCCATTGGTACCTACATCCAATGCAATGTGAGACAAAAGTCTCAATTGAAATTTACTGAAAGTGATACAGGATGTTAGTTTTATGACGTCACCAGAGAGCTCCAAACTAACGAGAAGCGGCCGCCTGTCAACCGATTTTTTATGCAAGATTAACAGGACGTTGTATCAAAAGCTCAAGCATCCACCAGCTGCAGTGTTGCCAGATCTCACGATTATTCGTAAGATTACACAATTTTAGTCAGAATTTCACGATCTCACGAATGAAGTAGCAGTTCTCACGAATTCTCTCTGTAGTAAATCAAATCACTAATCAAATATAATGTAATCGAGAATAATCGAAATAAAAATCTACTATACAATATTTATTAGTTACGTTACGCCGCTCCTGCTACATGTGCGCCTGAACACACGTAATATAGGACTGCTTATTGAGATGAAAGTGTTTGCCAAGTCCACGAGACCCCACTATCTGTGACGTCATCTGTAGACCTCAACTCTTGGAAAAAAATGTATTATCCGAGTCCAAAAATCGGATTCATAAACGTGGAATCACATTTTCTAAATTCAAAATTCCCGAAAAATCAACTCACAAGCACAGCCTGAATCGCAAACAATCCATCGAGGTCTGCGGATGACGTCACCACTATCAGTTGCTGATAGTGTAGACGTCACTCGCAGACCAGCTGCCGCCTCGAGAATTGACGCCTCTCACGATTTTTCTTTCTCGATTCTCACGAATTTTTTTAAATTCATCTGGCAACACTGACCAGCTGTTCGTTAGTCTAGGATCCGAAGTTCGCATATCGAGCTATGTGCTTACTCCGAATCCAAATAGTCAATTGTGATTTATTTTTGTGTTTTTTAATTATTATATTTTCATTTGGGTTATGCCTGGTATACTTGTGCTTTTTTGTAGCTGTGCTCCGAAAGCTAACAAGGGCTTAACCTTTTTTAGTTTTCCTCGTGATACAGTTCTCTCAGTGTAGATAAGGTTTTCAGCGCCCGTTAAATTTATTTCCATTTCTACTAATGCTTTACGTCAAACATAAGCGGTCAGGGTCACCAAAATCTGACAACAAGATTTGTGCGTTAAAGATATGCTTCTGTCGCCTCTCGTTAATTTGGAGCTCTCTGTTGTCACACTTCTAATGGACAATTGACAAAGTCATGATGACACGTTACACTTTCAAAATTTCCAAGTAGACTACAATTATCTATTGCTACAATCCAATACAATGTAAGACAGAAGCACAGATTACCTACATACAGATGCGAAAGAGCGGCGAATTCATGGTTCAAGATTAATTTGATAGACATAGGCTGGCCGCACCAATGCCGCATCAATGTATTTTGAACATATTTATTATATAAATGCGGAAGCTCAATAATATAATATTATTTCTTTAATTGGTTCACAAACAGCAAAAAAATATTCTTTTTTACCCGCAAAAATATGTAAACACACAGGCTGGAACATGCGCTCACGCACCCGGCCACGTTAATTGTCCTGACGCGGGCGATCTGTCAAGGCGCTGGGTCCCCGGTTTCGTTACAGAATATCGTCGACGGCAAGTATACGTACTTACGCATCTGTATTAGGTGATCTGTGACAGAAGTTCCAAATTTGCTTAGATACAGAGGATGTCAATTAATGCCAGGTCACATTTTCAAAATTTATCATCTAGTAGGTCATCTATAATGATAACTTCTATGACGTTAAACGGGGTGCCCAAACCCAATACAAATCTCCATTGCGCACCCCAGATAACGTCATCTGTTTCCCATTACCAGACAACCGATTATTGTCTGTCGTTTTTAGTCTAACACTTGCCGTATAAGGAGCGAGGGGATGAAGTATATGGCAAAAACAAGTGTGAGGTCAGGTGACCATTGGCGTTCTTACGTAGGCAGCCACCAGCTCACATTCCTTTGGAGTATCAGATTAAAAACGACGAACTATAACTGTAGGATTCTTGTATTGAAATGTACTGAAAGTTTTTTAAGATACAGGAGGATGTTAACTGATGACGTCATAGTTCTATATGAACAATTGACAAAGTCAGGATGCCACGTCATGCTTTCAAAAGTTCCAAGTAGGCCATTCACAATACAAATTATTCATTGGGTACTTCCAATACAATGTAAGATAGAACTAGAAGTCTCAATTGAATTGTACTGAAAGTTTTTTTAGATACAGAGGATATCAATTGATGACGTCATACTTCTAATGGCCAATTGACAAAATAAGGATGCCACGTCACATTTTCAAAATTTCCAAGTAGATCATCTATAATATAATAATTATCTATTGGTACATCCAATACAATGTAAGACAAAAGTCTGAATTGAAATGTACTAAATGTTTGTTTAGATACAAAGGATGTCAATTGATGACGTCACACTTGTAGTGGACAATTAACAGTCAGAATGACATGTCACATTTTCACAATTTCCAAGTAAGCCATGTATAATATAAGTATTCATTGCTACGTCCAATAAAATATAGAACAGAAGTCTCAATTATTAAAATCGAGGTTATTTGAAAGAGGTAGGTTGCCTGATAACTTTTATGACGTCATCTGGGATGCCCAAACCTAATGCAAATCTCCATTAGGCACCCCAGATGACGTCATTTGTTTTCCATTACCGGACAACCTATTTACTGTAGGAACCTTGTATTGAAATGTACTGAAAATTTCTTAAGATACAGAGGATGTCAATTGATGACGTCACACTTCTAATGGACAATTGACAAAGCTAGAATGCCATGTCACACTTTCAAAATTCCCGAGTATGCCATAAATAATAAAATTATCTATTAGTACATCCAATACAATGTAAGACAAAAGTTCCAAATTTGCTTAGATACAGAGGATGTCAATTGATGCCAGGTCAAATTTTCAAAATGTATTATCTAGTAGGTCATCTATAATGATAACTGACAGAAGTCTCAATTGAAATGTACTAACAGTTTGTTTAGATACAGAGGATGTCAATATTGATGACGTCACACTTCTAATGAACGATTAACAAAGTCGAGACTCCCCGTCATAATTTTCAAAATCTCCAAGTAGGCCATCCTTAATGTAATTATCCATTGGTACAGTTGCGATCAAAAAAAAGTAGTACAAAAATTATTAACTCCAATTTGAGCTCCCGGTGTAACATACAAAATTTTGACAGTAAATAAACAGGCAATAACATATTCTAGGTTGAAAACGGGTGGAAAAATGCCAAAGTAATGCCATCTCAAGCTTCCTAGGTTAGAAACTTGTCGAAAAATGCCAAAAATATGTCATTTTTGGTTATGAATTGAATTAATGTATGTAATTATGAGACCAGGAGATTTGGGAGATTTTTCTTGTACTACTTTTTTTTGATCGCAACTGTACAGGGTTATTGGTTATAAATGTCACCCCCCCTCTATCTTTTTTATTTGACATTTTAGAAAAAAGTGTCCGAAATAAAAAAATTATGGTTGAAATTAAATTTTTTGAAAATCTCACTTTTGCCTATACAGGGTGTTTCAAAAAAAGCTGGTCGTGCTCCAACTTTCTTATTTCAAATTGAATACCCTATATATTATTCAATATTCGGATTCTACGTCAAATTCTGAGCAGTTTTCATGTGATATACCCTATACCTAAGTTCAACTATTTTGGAAATATTGACAGTTGAAAACTTACTTTTTTGCAAATAATATACAGGGTATTCTATTTGAAATAAGAAATTTGGAGCACGGCCAGCTTTTCTGAAACACCCTGTATATGCGAAAGAGAATTTTTCAAAAAATTTAATTTCAACCATAAAACTTTTATTTGGGACACTTTTTTCTGAAATGTCAAATAAAAAAGATAGAGGGGGGTGACATTTATAACCAATAACCCTGTACATCCAATAGAAACTAAGACAGAAGTGTCAATTGAAATGTACTGAAAGTTTGTTTAGATACAGAGGATGTCAGTCGATGACGTCATACTTCTAATGACCAATTGACAAAATCAGGGTGCTACGTTACACATTCAAAATTTTCAAGTAGGCCATCCATAATATAGGTAATTATTAATACATCCAATACAATGGAAGACAGAATAAGTCTCAATTGAAGTTTGTTTAAAAACAAACTATCTATAGATACAGAGGATGTCAATTAATGACGTCAAACTTCTAATGGCCAATGGACAAAGTCAGGATGCCACTTCACACTTTCAAAATTTCCAAGTAGGCCATCTATAATATAATTTGGGCATTTCGGGTTCTATTTGAAATAGTAAGGGGTTGGTCCCACTCCGTCTAGAGGGTTAAAGTTGGAGTGCTGAAAATGATTGCAAAAAACTTCCCCCTTTGGAAATCTATAATTACGAGTACGAGCGATTTTTTTAAATATAAATGTGGCATCAGATATTTTGCCTGATTCGTTTTGAATGGTACACCCTGTATACATCCAATCTCTAAGCATCCCATGCAATGTAAAACAAAAGTCTTAATTGGAATGCACTGAAAGTTTCTGTCCACTGATGACGTCACACTTCTAATGGACAATTGACAAAGTCAGAGTCACACTACTCATACTTTCAAAATGTATATCCAATTCAATATAATACAGAAGTCTAAAATGAAATGTACTAAAAGTTTGTTTAGATACAGAGGATGTTAATATTGATGACGTCACACTTCTAATGAATAATCGACAAAAGGCGTATTTTAGCGACCAGTAAACATCATACTACACAAAGTACGATTCATGACGTCATAGTCACTTAAATAACAGGTGGAGTGTATTTGACAAAGGGTCTAAAAGAGGACGCCATAATCGTTGTATATTTGGGTTTGTTGAATTTTACAAAATTTTGCGTTTTCGAGTTTCAATATTATTTCTCCAGTGAAGATTTTCGAATAATTTCGATAGATTGTGGTATTTTTGAATTTTATGGGGACCCCATGCCAAAAAAAAAATTAAATTACACTTTTGTGCACAAGTGAAGATTCTTTTTTTGCAAAAAACCTCTAATAAAATCACATAAAACCATGGCAAAATGGAGAAAAACAATCTTCTATTTATAATGGAAAGAACTGTGTCAGTAATCGTAGTCAGCTGTTTTGCCCATATGCTCATTTTCGTGTATTAGAAAAAGATGCACTGACATACTACAACCAGTACTTAACTATCCCTTGTAGGAGGGTTACATGTTTACAGCCGAGTTTTATGTTGTGACGTCATAGTATGTCAGCCATGATCGCTAAAATGTAGTATCCCAAGTAAATACAACATACTACTGGGTTAAAAATCTCGCTAAAATACGCCAAAAGTCAGAATGCCACGTCAAACTTTCAAAATTTCCAAGTAGGCCATCCATAATATGATCGTTGATTGGTACATCCAATATAATGTAAGACAGACAGGGACGATCTATAGTTTGCGTTTTTAAAATAGCGTCGCAGGCGAAAATTCTGAAAATGACTGACATCTTAGAATGTCCTTAGGAAAATCCATTAAGGTAGGCAAAAATATAGACTTTTACAAGGAAAATTTAATTCATATGTCAAAATATTAATAACTTGGAATGAGTGATATACACCGGAGGCAGAAGTTGACCGACAACTAGCCGGCCCAATCCGGGCCTGAAAACAGAGGTCTCAATAGAAATGTACTGATGTGTAGATACAGAGGATGTCAACGATGACGTCACACTTCTAGTAGCCAATTGCAACCGTCAAATTTTCAAAATTTCCAAATAGGCCATCCATAATGGCTCATATAAATAAAACAGAAGCAAATGCTTTTACTTAAATTTTTTGAGATAAACATATCCAGGTTTAATACAGTAAAAAGAGATGGAGGCAGAGTAAAAGCATTTGCTACACTTTATTCATACGACCCAATATATTTATCCATTGGTACAGTGGGAATGAGGTGGGAATCATTGCAATTGGCACATACTATATGAAGCCTCGATAAAAACTATTATGTTCGCCACTGATTTATCAATCTGACACAATTTTGACATAACCTGTGCGTCAAAGACGTAACATTTTGACACATTACGGGGGATGTTTATATAGTGTGTGCCAATTGCAATGATTCTCACTGTACATTCAATACAATGTAAGAAAGAATAAGTTTCAATTCAAGTTTGTTTAGATACAGGGGATGTCAATTAATAACGTCACGCTTCTAAAGGCCAATCTGTAATGTCAGGATACCACAAACAGAAGTCTGCCACGTCACACTTTGTCTGAATCGAAATGTAATGAAAGTTTGTTTAAATAATATACAGGATGACGTTACAATTCTATATGGACAAATAACAAAGTCAGGATGCTACGTCATACTTTCAAAATTTAGGAATAGGCCATCCATAATGTAGTACAGCCAATACAAATGTTAGACCACAGAATAAACCTCAATTATAGTTTGTTTAGATACAGAGGATGTCAATTTATGACGTCACACTTCTAATGGACAATTGACAAAGTCAGGATGATGTCACGACACATTTATAAAATTTACAAGTAGGCCATAGTACATCCAATGCAATGTGAGACCATAGAATAAATCTCAATTGAAGTTTGTTTAGATACAGAGGATGTCAATTGATGACCTCACATTTTCAAATTTTCCAAGTAGGACATCGATAATAATGTGAAAGAAACCAACCGAATAAAAAAACTTCTCGCTTCAACAATCAACCCAAGATAAATTAAACTAACAATAGAAAATCTTCATTAACTCACCTGTTGCATTTTGTATTGGTGAGTGACACCGTAACCCAATTTCAAGTTGGCCGCGAAAGTCATCGCCTCCTTGACCGTCAGGCCTAATCGTAGTTCTTCGTCTTGCGGTATGTAGGCCGATAGTTTTCTGAAGCGAGGGCTTTGATCTCGTATTACACCATTCACATTCACTTCGCCCGAACTACCTCTTGTTCTATACACACAAAAAAAAGATTTAACGATGATTTTTTCGAAAAGCTTTCTTCCAATATTTCAAGATTGGAATTATTTAAACAAAATTATATAACAATTATTATTAGCATTTAGTTACACAATAATTATCTCATTTCATTTGAATAAATTTTGGTAAATTTCACTTTTTTTTTTTGTTGTTTCCTAATAATGATACTTACACGTAACCTGCTAAAATGTTCAGTAAGGTGCTCTTTCCGGCACCGGACGGGCCCATAATCACCGACAATTCGCCGGATTTGAATTTGCCAGAAACTCCATGGAGGATTTTTTTGGTTTCTACAAATAAAATAATTCTTTGAAAAACCTTTAAATACAAATTAAAACAAACAAAATTCAAATCACTTTAGCCTTGAAAATGCAAATTAAAAAATTCTTCCAAATATAAAGGTTTTAAAAACAAAGTTTTTTTATATAGGACAACGACACCGATTCGCCTTTTATAATTACTTATTATTATAAATAATTTTACTACTATGCAAGATTATTAATTAACAAGTCTGACAAACAAGTGGATGTTTATTATTGTCTAGTTTGTCTCTGATTATGATAAACAAACATGTCTGATCAGGATCGGGAACGTTAACCTTTTTCAACCAAGATCTACAATAATCGAAACGATAAACAAATAAGTTTTTGATTGATTTCGCGAATAATACAATTAACTAAAAGGTTTTCCTAGAGCAACATTTAGTTTAATTGTGGTTTAAATGGGTATATTTAATTAGGTGGGATTTACAACTTTGTGTGAATATTTTCTTTTTTCGACCCTGGGAAAAACGCTTAAAAAATCTAATGATCATAAAACGTTTATGAACAATACAAAAACTTCACATAAATCAAGCGAAAATAATGTTTGCGTATTTTTCATACATTGTTTTCAACCTTATGGATATTCAAATCAGAAGTTTAGCAGAACAGTGCTATGTCATTACAGAAAAATCTAGCTGAATGGTGTCGCCCTCTATCAGAGAGATACCTGAGGGGTTGTTGCTGGAACAACTAACAAATTAAGTTGCAAATTGATCACTTTCTTCAGTGAGAGGGGGGGGGCAAAACCATATTTTAAGTTCATTCATCATTCAAATATAGATCGCTCTTCAAGAATATAGAATGAAATATAGGGTATCCTATTTGAAAAAAGCTAGAAACATGTAAAATTTCACATTTCTGACATTCAAATTTTGTTTTTGATCAAGGTTTCTAAAAATTTAGCCAAAACTGTACAACTTTTGTATTAACACCTTTTTTCTACCTGTGAAGGTAAAGGTTATAGGTGGGGTGTCAAAACACCCTGTACAAATAAGTGGATTATTGCGGGACTTATAGGTGGACCTCTGCGGGACGAGCGCAGCGAGTTCCGCAGCCATCTACTCACCAATATACTGTTGAACTATTCAAATAAGACACTCATTAATGAGAAAAATTCACAACTAAGTGAATCAAGTTAGTATTGTACTTGAACAACATATTGGTGAATAGATGGCTGGGTCCACCCATAAATTTCGCAACAATCCATTCGTTTGTACTTGAATAACTTGTCACAATATATTACTAGTTTGGTAAAGTAACATTACTAATTAGGGAATCCAAACCACGTGACTTTTGCCAACCAGCCGGCATTTTGAAATTTTTATGAGGTTAGAATACGATGTCAGAAAATTGTCAGATTGATAAAGCCTAGTACTCATAACCGCGAAATTCGCTCTTTTTTGACATTGCTTCGACAATTTGACGTTTGATTCACGCATAAAACGTCAAATTGTCGAAGCAATGTCAAAAAAGAGCGAATTTCGCTGTTATGGGTACTAGGCTTAATCCTGCCAAAAAAAAAAACATATGTTTTTTGTTTATTGTTTGCCAACCAGACGCCATTTGGACAGGTCGTTGGATTGCCTTATTCCTGTTAAAAGGTCAATTGACCTTTTCAATTTAAAAGCCTCTCTCTCTGGCATCAAACTGTCAGACGCCAAAAGAGTATGAAAACAATGGTTGACAGCCGTTGACAGTGGTTTGTAGACAAGACTTTTGAAAGAAACTATTATTTCCTCGGGTTTTTCAAGGTTTTTTCTTAACAATGATGGTGATTGTGTGTAGTGTGCCTATCCATAAAACTAATTCCTATTTATTCCTATTAACCGGCGGACGTGTTTTTCCATAAGTTTCCATCAAATCCTACATTTGTCAAAACTTGGATACACAAAATCAGAATGCAGAAAGGATACTCGCAAAAGAAAGGGAAATCCACGGCCCATCAAGTATACAAAGTAATCCACGTTCAAGTTTAGTTTGCAGAAATTGTTTGCTTCCAAAATAATCCACCACCGGCTCCATAGCGAAGTTCTGCGAATGAAGCAGTGCTTTTCCTACATTTTTCTCCCAATTTCAAACCCTGCGTTTTTATTATCAAATTTTACCGATGGATCCATCATTCAATGTCGGTCATTGTCATTTTCCATTCACTTAACAAAGATACGCTGCGTTTTTATTCTCATCAAATTTTTCCGATGGATCCACCATTCTATGGCCGTCATTGTCATTTTCCATTCATTAAATAAAGACAGCTAACTCATCGGTGAAGTCACCGATGAGAATAAAAACGCGGGGATAGCTAACTCATTGGTGAAGTCACCGATTCAAATAAAAATGAGGGGATTGCTAAACACCCAATACATATTGACATTGACAAGCAAGCAAATTTTGGCGGGAAAATGAATGTTTTCATACTTATCGTCCATCTCTTTTAATTGAAAACGTCAATTGACGAAAAGTGGATAATCTTAAAAATTGTTTATATAATAACTTATTGTTCAATTATTGGATTGTTGCGGAACTTATGGGTGGACCTCTGCGGGACGAGCGTAGCGAGTTCCGCAGCCATCTAATTCACTGTTGCCAGGTCAAAAAAATTAAATTCACCAGAAATTGGAATGAAAAATCACCAGAAGTCTTGAAAGTTGATTTTTCAGGAAAATTCTCGCCTTACGGGCTTATATCAAACCAAGTAGGCTTTGGAAACATGTATGTATTGCAATGTCGGTATTAGAGGGCGCCATATTTAAATTTTAAAATTTTGCAATGCCTACTTTGTCCCTTGTCAAACAGTGTTGCCAACTACAACTCATAACAAATATTGTGTCAATCATATTTATACAAAAAAAAGCCCAAGTAGGCCTTGCAAATTTCAAATTTTTCATAACAGTAATTATATAAACATCGGCAACGCTGTTGGGCAAAATGTCAAATATCATTTATGACAAGCGATAAGATTACTACTCATCAAAAACTAAGTGAACCTTGAAGCAATCCTGGACTGGGATCATGACAAGTAGAATTCTATTTTCATGACGTCACCCGCGACCTATTTATCGCGTATACTACAGGCGATGATCCCCTTTGAATTTTTTTTTCAAAATGTTCAAACTCAATTTTCTCGAAACCCGTCAAAGATTTTGGATCAATTTTTTTTTTGAGATTGTAGCCCTTGATGAGGGCTTTAAAATAGTACTCGGTTGAAGTCATTGGCATTTACGGTTTTCGAAATAATTTAGTTTGAAGTTTTTGATACTTTTTCGACTAAAATTCAACTTTGAGGTGTAATTGCTCAGAAAGTATTTGAGCTATGGAGCTCAATTTTGCATTGTTTTACAGAAAATTTATTGCTCTTTCCAACAATGTATAATTTGTTTTGATTTGCTCAAACTTCAAAGGAAATATTGGCAATTGCTCCTAACCTTGTTAGGATTTTTTAAAAATTTAAACCTGAAAATTGAGATTTTCTTTTTGATTTTTTTTTTCTTTTGAAATCGAGATTTGGAAATGAAGTCAGAGTTTTTTTCGACTAATTTAGATCCGCTCTATCGATTGGAAAAGTCAAAATTCAAAAAATCTGAAAAATAAAAATCTCGATTTTTTCAAATCCCTTTGGATTTTAATTTAAAAATTTTCAAACTCAATTTTCTCGAAACCCGTGAAAAATTTTGGATCCATTTTTTTTAAAGATTGTAGCCCTTGATGGGAGCTTTGAAATGGTGCTTAGTTGAAGTCGCTGGCATTTACGGTTTCTGAGAAAATCGAGTTTGAAGTTTTTGACTAAATTTTAACTAAAATCCAACTTTGAGGCTCAATTGCTCTAAAAGTATTCACGTTATCAAACTGAATCTAGCACAGATTTATAGAGAATTTGATGCTCTTTCAGACCATATATAATTTATTTTGATTTGCTCAAAATTTAATGGAAGAATTGGCAATTGCTCCTAACCTTGTCAGAATTTAAAAACAATTTATATCTGAAAATTAAGATTTTCTTTTTAATTTTTTTCCCCTTTTGAAATCGAGATTTGGAAATGAAGTTAGAGTTTTTTTCGACTAATTTAGATCCGCTCTATCGATTGGAAAAGTCAAAATTCAAAAAATCTGAAAAATAAAAATCTCGATATTTTCAAAGGGTTATAAACTCCTTTGGATTTTATTTTCAAAATTTTCAAACTCAATTTTCTCGAAACCCGTGAAAGATTTTAGGTCCATTTTTTTTAAGGATTGTAGCCCTTAATGAGAGCTTTGGAATGGTACTTAGTTGAAGTCGCTGACATTTACGGTTTTTGAGAAAATCGAGTTTGAAGTTTTTCACTAAATTTTAACTAAAATCCAACTTTGAGGCTCAATTGCTCTAAAAGTATTAAAGTTATCGAACTCAATCTAGCACTGATTTATAGAGAATTTGATGCTTTTTCCAACCATATATAATTTATTTTGATTTACTCAAAATGTAATGGAAGTATTAGCAATTGCTCCTAACTTTGTTAGGATTTAAAAAAAATTTAAACCTGAAAATTGAGATTTTCTTTTTGATTTTTTTTATCTTTTGAAATCGAGATTTGGAAATGAAGTTAGAGTTTTTTTCGACTAATTTAGATTCGCTCTATCGATTGGAAAAGTCAAAATTCAAAAAATCTGAAAAATAAAAATTTCGATTTTTTCAAAGGGTTATAAACCCCTTTGGATTTTAATATCAAAATTTTCAAAATCAATTTTCTCGAAACCCGTGAAAGATTTTGGATCTATTTTTTTTCGGATTGTAGCCCTTAATAAGAGCTTTGAAATGGTACTTAGTTGAAGTCGCTGGCATTTACGATTTTTGAGAAAATCGAATTTGAAGTTTTTGACTATATTTTAACTAAAATCCAATTTTGAGGCTCAATTGCTCTAAAAGTATTCACGTTATCAAACTCAATCTAGCACTGATTTATAGAGAATTTGATGCTGTTTCCAACCATATA